TAGTATAGTTGAGCTGAAGGCTTTTCTTGGCCTGTTGATATACACATCAGTATTCAACTCGTATCATGAAAGTATCGATACAATATTTGCTACTGATGGAACTGGTCGAGATATATTCAGAGCAGTAATGAGCCGGAACCGATTTGCAGTTCTTTTGATTGCTTTGCGTTTTCATGACCCAGCTACAAGATCGATTCGAAAAAGAACACTCAGCGGCAGCAATTTCGGAAATATTTTATAAATTCATTGAAAATTGCCAAAATTGTTATGGTATAGAGGAGTCACTAACCATTGACGAAATGCTTGTTAGTTTCAGAGGACGTGTCCATTTCAAAATGTATATGCCTAACAAGCCCTGTAAGTACGGGATAAAGGTGTTGTGCCTTACCGGCGCGAAAACTAGTTATCTATACATTGCCTACATATACAGGGTGTCCGCAAGGTTGGGGTTTTCCTTTTCAGAAACAACTACCCTTGAAATAACAAAGGTAATGTGTAGTGAAACGAGGGCGACCAAGTAAAAAAAATAAAGGAAAAAGTACTCACTGTCCAGTTGACGAGAAGGGCTAAGTACGTCTCTGCCTGAAATCGAAAGTTATTCACCCCATTACACGTGAACGTAGATTCGTCTGTCACCAATATGCACTTCAAAAAGTCCGGATTATTGTCATGTTGATGCAACAACCACTCACAAAACCGCACTCTTGCTGGAAAATCGTCAGGTTGAAGGGCTTGTACACGTTGGACGTTTGCCACACTTTGGTTTTTGATACTTGCACTTCTCTAGCCACGTCTCTAGTGCTTGTTGAGGGATTCTCGTCTACGCGATTCAGTAGTTCTTCCTCAACTTGCACCATTCGTGGTTATCTAGGCCTCCCACTGTGCCCACCTCGAAATTCCTCCAAATGGCCCGTATCCCTGACTCTCTGATACACAAATCTGCGGGGCCTTGGATGATGTCGTCTAGGGAAACGATCTGCATACACTCGCGACGATTCTGTATCGTTTTGAAGACATTCGCCATAAATTAACAAGCCGACACAATCAGTGATACCTCTTGAAAAACCTCTTTTCGGAAGTAACAGAAATATAACTGCTGACAATTGGTTCAGCTCTATAGAACTGCTAATGAAAAATGCACTAACTTACGTAGGTACACTAAATAAAAATAAACGAGAAGTACCAACAGAATTCTTACCAAACAAGAAAAGAGAAGAAGGATCATCGTTGTATGGATTTCGTGAAGATATGACTTTGGTTTCTTATGTGGGAAAGAAAGGAAAAGCAACACTATTAGTTTCTTCTATGCACAATAGGCGCTACACCGACCCTGAAACCGAAAAGCCAGAAATAATTTCTTTTTATAACCGGACCAAAGGCGGTGTAGATACACTTGACGAGAAATGTTCGAAAAGTTCGACAAGCCGGCGAACACGTAGATGGCCGCTTGCAATATTCTTCCGTATTCATGATGTATCTATTGTAAATTCATTTATTTTACATCAAGCTTTCAAAGACAATGAGGTGATAAAAGATAAATCAGTATTTGCAAAACAACTGGCTGCTGAATTAGTTCGAGAACATATGGAAAGAAGACTAGCAAATGATCGAGTGCCTCGTGAAATACGCAGCAATATTAGTAGAATTTTGAGATTACCGGAAACAAACGAAATACAGAATGAAGGGGAGCTTTTACTTACAACACGTAGAGAATGCTATTTGTGTCCTGCAGCAAAACATCGCAAGACAAAATATCTCTGTGTGCAGTGTAGACGGGCGATTTGCTTGCAGTGCTTAAAGCCTGTATGCAATACATGCGCAAAAAAGACGGTGGATTAGTTTCTGCTAGAGGAGCATTTCAGTGTTATTTTCCTTTGAGTTCTATTTTTTTACACAGGGTGTTTCAGTTTATTGTTGCATAACTTTAAGATTCGATAGAACTTTTAAAATTAATGAATAAAGTCTATATAAACATGGGTCGAAAAATGCGAAATACAGTGTGTTTAAATTTACTTTCTAAAATAGTTTTTTTTTTAAATATTTCGAACAATATTTGATGTATAACAGTGAAAATTGGTATACAAGGGTTTATTGGTACGACAAAACGAACTATGGGCATAGTTTTACTGTAGCCGCTTCTAGATGGCGCTCTCTACTGTACCTGTAGTGTATTAAAATGACCGAAAATTTTTTCTTACTGCAATTTTTTTTCTTTTCGCACTTTTCTGCACAAAAAAGCTCTCCTGTGAGTTTTCGTTATAGTTCGCCGTTTTTGAGATATATTGATTTTTAATGTTCGATGCATTTTTAATTATTCATGGGAAAATAATATTTTTTTTACATTTTCGATTTGGGCATTACAAGTAATTAAGATAATCTTTTAGATTGTGTTTTTAAACACAGCAATAATTCCTAACTCCAAATAAACACAAAAAACAGAATATTAATTTGTTTAATTTTCCAATATTATTTTTAACAAATTAAATTAATTATTTACAAATAAAATGCTATTGGATAGTTAGGACAAACATACAAAATCTAAAGTAGTTGCTCGAAATGTAAACCCAATTGTACAATACACAATTCACATCTACGAATGATCGAACGTGGTATAGCATTATTCAAATAAGGCCTTATTTCATCACATGCATTCCTGATTCTGTCTATTAGCATATCTCTTGTGGTTCCGGGAGTCTGGTACGCTTTTTCTTTTAGAAATCCCCACACAAAGAAATCTAATGGATTTAGGTCAGGGGATCGTGGAGGCCAGGCGACTGGTCCTCCACGGCCGATCCATCTTTCTGGATAATTTTCGTCCAGCCAGTTTCTAACTATTCTCGAATAATGAGCTGGATAACCATCAAGCTGAAACCAGGCCAATCTTCTTAAATCTAACATAACATCATCCCACATATTTGCATGTTCAGCCTTTAAAAATTCCAAGAAGGTCGCAGCATTTAACCTTGCAGGCAAAAGGTAGGGTCCAAATAGTGGATTACGGTAGATACCAATCCACACGTTCACACTAAATTCATGCTGAAAATTTCTTTCCGGAACTGCATGCGGATTTTCATGTGACCAAATATGTTGATTATGAAAATTTACCACTCCACGTCTAGTGAAGCATGACTCATCGGTCCATAAAACGTTACTTAAAAACTCCCTATTATTATCAGTTCTAACAAAAATCCACTGACAAAATGTGATTCTTTATTCTCCGTCCCCTGGCTGTAGTCCTTGCACAGGTTGCAAATGGTAAGGACGTCATTTCGAAGAACACGGTGAACATGCTGAAATTCCCAAGGCACCAGAAACTCTCCTAACACTTGTGGTCGGATCTCTATCAAACTCACGCAGAATCATACGGGTAAATCTGCGCTGACGAACATTTATGTTTTGATCCCTTTGGAGATTTCCAAAACCATTTTCAATTATTTGGCGATGCACTCTTACAAATACTGAGCGAGTTGGATGTCGTCTGTTTGGAAATCTTCGTGCGTATTCTCTGGCTGCTTCTGCTGCGTTTCCATTTACAAAGCCAGACACAAAATGAATATCCGCTAACTCTTGCTTGGAGAATAAAAATGGCATTTTTATAAAACTTACAAAAAAAAAGAGGTAAAAGAAACTAAATTTCGTGCATTCACAATTGCAAAAAAACGTTTCAGGTTTCAACAGACAACAAAACTAGCTGTCAACTACTTGACGTTTAACCTTATTCTGCTTTCAATTTCAAAAATATTTGCAGGCACGGCCTACTTCTAAAAATTATCGAGATGACTTTTTAACGTTAATTTATCATAAATAATTAAAAATGCATCGAACCTTAAAAATCGAACTCACAGGAGAATTTTTTTATGTTGGAAAGTGCGAAGAATCAGTTCTTTTATTCAAAAAGCAAAAAATAGCACAAAGAAAAAATTTTCGGTCATTTTAATACACTACAGGTACAGTAGAGAGCGCCCTCTAGCGGCTACAGTAAAACTATGCCCATGGTTCGTTTTGTCGTACCAAAAAACCCTTGTATAGCAATTTTCATTGTTATACATCAAATATTGTACGAAATATTTAAAAAAAAACTATTTTAGAAAGTAAATTTAAACACCCTGTATTTCGGAAGCCACGCATTTTTCGACCCATGTTTATATAGACTTTATGCATTAATTTTAAAAGTTCTATCGAATCTTAAAGTTATTTTTTGTGAGCTTTTAAGAATACATGTTTAATTAGGTCAAGTTACGATATAGTTTTCCAGATATTTGTTGTTGTCAGAAACCAATTTAGAAACAAACCATTTTTCCTCATTTACATGTAGTAGTAGGATCCCTATTGCTTTATACATAGCAATAATAAATTATTTCCAAAAAATAACTTGTTTTACTATCTGCCCAGTTAGTGGTCTGTGAGACCCCACATGGATCTTTGCGTCCAGATGACTCATATGGTAGGTTAAGGGTTAAAAAAGAGATACGATGTTAGTCAAATTGGAGCAATGTTTTAATCAGCATATACGAGTATACCAGAAAGCGGCACCTTGACAATTCCATAATTCAAAGTAGTTTCGAGAATAAAGAGAAAGTTTCTGGCAATAAAAAATGTAATCCTTATCGACTTTGTTATATATTTTTTACTATACAAAGACTTCATTTGAAATATTGCTTTCGAAATAGCTACATGTTCACAGATTTACTTATGGAACATTCTGTCTTTTTTGGCTGAAGGCCGAATGCGTGGTCGAAGCCGATGCCGAAGCTTTGGTCGGTACCTAGTCAGAATTATCGATATACAAGGCCTTTTGTCAGTTGATCAGCTGTCATATAATCCTTAACTTGTGAGTGACCCTTTGCCTCGGCCGCTATTCTATTGGAGGCCCTTACGTGTCAGCAGGCAATATAGGTAGTACTATTCTGTTGTAACTTTATAAACTCAAAAAAAAACCCACCACGTTTGGGCTACTTTACATTTCTTTAATTGATTTGAAGTTTGAATTAAAATTTTAGGCACAGATATCTTGGCAACACCAGTGATGGAAAAGGGTGCTAAGACCAAAACAGTCCACTTTCCTGGTAATGAAGATACGTTTTGGTATAGAGCTGACCTATGTACTGGGAACTGGACGGTACATAGAGGTGGAACCAATGAAACGTTCAACGTGGATATACAGAACGTAAGGATACTTTTCCGCAATGCATCGTACTTGGTTACCATTGAAACTACGCACTTATTACAAACACCTTTATAGACTTGTTTAACAATCAGGAATCCTAGTTAACAACCCTTCAACCTACGCACTTATTTCTCTGTTCTCTCTCGAAGCTACTACTCGCTCTCGCACATACCGACACTCATGAATTGAGTGCCAAGACGACCGGTATTTTCATTCACTTTCGGAAGATACTTCTATAAATTTCAAGCAGATTATCGACACAGTAAGTTATATTTTCAGACTCAAAGCTCAAGCCACATGCCCATGATAAGCAAGTTGTCTTTCTGATAATGAACATTATAAATGTGGAATCCATTTATGAGAAAATCGTCTGAACTGTGATACAAAACAAAAAAACGTGTGTCTGTGATCTTAAGGTGCGTATCCACTGAAATTGTTGGCAACTTTTGTGTTCGCAACTGTTCGCAACTTTCCAAAAGTTCACCAACTTTTGTTTCCGTTGTGTCTCCACCAAATTGAGACAAATCGCCAACAATTTGAAAAACATTTCAGTTGATAACTAGCTGTCTCCACCAGTAGTATTGTTGGCAATATGTCTTCGAACGACAATGATATTATCCAGGCAGCGGCAATATTCATTATTTTAAGCAAAAAGAAACGGCAGCATAAATATTGGGTACGACCAAGCCGCAGAGAAAGAAAAGTACATGGAGGGATTGAGATATTAAATGCTTTGAGGAGAGATGACTTGTTAGCAAGCCGCATTGAAGATGGACAAATCAGAAACTTTCTTCGCATGACTGGGTCTGATTTTGAGAGGCTGCTTAGTCTCGTTGGGTCAAAAATTAAAAAAAAAATGATACTAATTATAGAAAAGCAATTACGCATACGGAACGTTTATCAATCACTTTAAGATTCTTGGCTACAGGGGATTCATATACTTCGTTAATGTTTTTGTTTAAAATTTCAAAACAAGCTATTTCGAAAATCGTACCTGAAGTTTGTGCAGCAATCTGTGAAGTTCTGGAAGATCAAATTAAGGTAAGAACTGTTTCATTTTAAGTATTTTATTAACTGGCCACGCGACCTTTGACCTTCTGTATCTCTAAATCTATGGCTTTTGGGGCTTTGTGGCCATAAGATTTTTTGATCAGGAAGGCATGCACTACAACATACTAAATTTTCAGCCAATTTGACGGCTATATGAAATCCCATGTACTGTGTGCGTGGTACTTTGACCTTCAAATGACCAAAATCCTGACGTGATGGGGTTAAACGGACCCCAAATTCGGATTCAGCGACCCCAAAAACTTATAATGTATTTGGTTTGGTAGAGAGTCCCTTTCACTTTTTTTTTGTGGTGCTGTGTTATTGAATATATAATTTATTTTTTTACAGATGCCCGAAAGTACAGAGGAGTGGAGAGTAATAGCAACACAATTCAACAATATTTGGAATTTTCCACAGTGTGTAGAAGTAATGGATGGAAAACATATCATGATTCAATCTCCAGAACACAGTGGAAGCGATTTTTTCAATTATAAATCATTTTTTAGTATTGTTCTTTTTATTGTTGCTAATGCAAATTACGAGGTGATATATTATGAATGTTGGCTGCCAAGGACGCATATCGGATGGTGGCATTTTCGAAAACACTCGTTTCAAAAAGATGTTGACGCAATGTAAACTCTATTTACCTAATAATGAAAAACTTCCAGGTAGAACCACTGCTGTCCCTTAGGTCTTTCTAGGTGATGATGCTTTTCCATTATTACCAAATTTGATGAAACCTTACCCGGGTGCTCAGGAAAAATGATCACAGGAGAGAATATTTAACTATAGACTTTCAAAACGTGTTCGGAATATTATCAGCACGATTTAGAGTTCTTAGGAAAATAATATTACTTGACCCATCCAAAGCGCAGATAATTGTCAATACTTGTATTTATTTACACAATTATTTGCGAAAAAGTAAAAACTCAAGGGCAACATACACCCCACCTCGAACTTTTGATTCTGAAGATAAAGACACCGGTAATATCATTTCTGGGGGTTGGAGAAAAGAGATGCAAAATGATATACCATTTCAAAATTTAAGTAAGATAGCTCGAAAATCAAGTAATGCCGCTAAAGAATTGAGACAAGAATTTCCAGAATACTGTATGTCCCCACAAGGGCAAGTTCCTTGGAAAAATACCTATTAATAAAAATTGAGAAAAAACAACCTCAAAAAATAGTTAGTATAGTAATGGTATTTAACTCAATATATATCTGTACTACATAAAAAGCGATTAATAAATAAATAATAATAATAATTTTGTTGTATGATTACTTACATCTGTTTCATTTATTCCTTTTTCAACACATAGTCTGGGTTCATTTCTGTCACTTAAAAAAAGAAGCCGTTTGTCGGCAAACCATCTTGGAATGTCGGAAGCTGCAGCTCCAGACTTATTGTCATCGCTCATTTTCTTTTTCTCTCTGAAAAACTGTGCCCTCAAATTTTTTATTTTCCTTTGTATTTCAAGCTCGTGAAGGCCCATAGCATCACTGATCGTTTTCCATGCATCCTTTCTCAAATTTTTATTTTTGTAACGTTCATCCCTTGAATCCCATAGTACTGTCTGTGTGTGATATAAATCAATTAACGTATCGGTTAATTCGTTCGTCCACGTGACAGACATGTTTCTGTTTCCAACTAATGTTTTCAACTGAGCGTATCCACAGAGCGAATGAATATCGACAACAAGCGCGTTCTTTTGATGTTTACCGCCACAAATGGAAACACAGTTCCTGACATTTGTTTACCATTTTTGTTGCCAACACAATATTATAATTTCACATACTTTTGTTACCAACACGTGTTGACAACACAAAAGTTGGCCATTTTTCTTTGGTGGATACGCACCTTTACACAAACAAACGTTCGCGTATAGAGGTCGATTGTGTATGTAACTGTGAGAAAGACGGATGAGTGAAAGTAACTACTGTCAACCGCCAAAAACCGTGAAAAGACACTTTAACCAAAGCAAAAGTCCGACGGACCGCTCTTGTAGACAATCACGAATAGAAAAGAATAGTGCATAGTAAGAAGGCTAAATAAACTCTGGGCGCTGAAGAAAGACATTAAACGTAAACAGTGATCAGCACGTGAACAGATCCCTCGAAAGCATCCACGGATATACTTCAGTCACTTTAGGTCTAAACATCCTCGGCAGTGTATTTCTAGTGAATCCACAGACCCTTTTTCGTGTCATCTTGAGACTAGAAAAAGGATGACTGTTAAAATAAGTTACCTTGATCTTTCATGAGCTCCCAGTACAAAACATCATCGATATATTTTTGATGTAGGAACAACAAATTGGTTTAGAAAACATCCACTTTGAACCTAAATTGACTGGAGTAATATCGATCTACAGACAAATTCAAGGTTACTAGCAGTCGTCGGCGCTCTACGAATCTGCACAGGTTTGGACTTGTAAACGTGATTGTAGATGACACGACAGGCATCTAACAGTTAATTCACGCACAGGATTGCATTGCATACGCATTACGCATTCAGTAGCGTATACTCGTTTTTCGCGAGTGGAACGTTTTGTTTATATATTGCCTAAGATACGAAGTCTGACACAGATACAGCCGACGAAGTGGTTGACATCAGCGCAACCCCACCCAAAAAAGGGCTAAGAAGCTACATTTAAGTGCAAATGAAAAACAAATAATATTAAATATATACAAAAACCAAATTCAAGAAAAACCCGATTTGGTCGTGGACGAAGTTATATGTAAGGTAGCACATATTTCTGGAGTATGTCGGTCCAGTGTTTATAGGATCATTAAGGAATATAGGAGCACTCACTCACTTTCTGAGCCAAAACCGTATCCTGCAAGAAAAAGGATAACGGACGGAGTAGATGACTTTGACAGAACTGCCATCAGGAGGAAAGTGCATAATTTTTTTTTCCGAAATGAGATACCTACAGTAGATAAGATATTAAGATTAGTTAATGCTGATGAGGATCTTCCATCATTTAAAAGAACCACATTCCGAAAACTTTTGAAGGAACTTAATTTTCGATTCTTGAAACGGGGAAGAAACAGTATGTTAATAGAGAAAGAAGAAATTGTTGTGTGGAGAAGGGAATACCTTAGGAAGATTCGGAAGTTTCGCGATGAAAAAAGAAAAATTTACTATTTGGACGAAACGTCGGTGAATGCTGGACATACTCAAGCGAAAGTTTGGGTCGACAAATCAGTAACATCATCAAGGCAGGCTTTTCTAGACGGTCTTTCGGCTGGATTGAAAAATCCTGCAGGTAAGCTCCTTTATCTATCCGGCAATTTAATTTTGATATATTCGGGCAAATAGTATGCTGTGATAGCAGATAATGTGTGATATTCTCCAAAAATGGTGCATTCGCAGTGTAGTCATTAGGAAAAAAACTTCGACCCTCTTTTAAGCGTTATTTTGAAATTTATTATCATTTTTGGGTGCAGTCAATTTTCTACGTTTTTCAGTTTTTGATCAGCATTCCGTGACTCTTAAATTCAGCTAAATGAACTCAATTGCCTCATTCCTTCAAATTTAAGCAATCCATAGTGTAAGGAATAATTTATTTCCAGGAAAAGGCAAACGGCTGATCATTTGTCACGTTGGTAGTGAAGACGGCTTTGTTCCCGAAGCACTGTGGGCCTTTGAATAAAAAAAGACAGGGGACTAGCATGAGGAGATGGACCGCAATTCCTTTGAAAATTGGTTCTCCAAAATGTTACTAAAGCTGGAGAATAACGCTGTTATTGTACTGGATAATGCCCCGTACCATTCTAGAAAAATAGAAAAAATTCCCACAATGGCAACTAAAAAAGCAAACATACAACAATGGCTGGCCTCAAAACAGATCGATTTTGATGAAACAATGGTCAAGGGTGAATTGATAAGTATAGTCAATAGACATAAATACAAATACGATTTTAAAATGATCGACGAAATGGCCAAAAAAGAAAATAAAACTGTCTTGAGACTGCCACCCTACCATTGTGAGCTGAACCCTATTGAGCTGATTTGGGCCAACATAAAGCAATACGTGGCGTCGAATAATAATACTTATAAATTTTCTGATGTTAAAAATCTCTTTCACATCGCAGTCAATAGAGTTACGGCAGAGGAATGGAAAAACTGTATCCGCCACGTTCGGGAGAAGGTTGAGGTCAAAATGTGGGATTTGGACAATGTCATCGATACCCAAATTGAACCTCTAATAATTCATTTAAACGATTCAGAAGATTCAAGTTCCTCTTCTGAATGAGTGCGCGCAGCTTACTTACTAATAACTAAAAAGTGTAGTTAACTCATTTGTGAATCTCTAACTGAAATTTACTGTAAAAGATAATAATTATCTTGTATGAAATTTTTGATGACTACCCATAATATCTTGATGCGGTCCTGTAATGTCTCCTGCGCCTAAACACTCACTCACGAGCAATATGCGTGTATTTGTTTGGGTTTAGTTTCTTTCTTCAGCGCCTAGAGTATAGTGTAAGGTACTTTTTTTGTTCTAAACAAATAATCCAACTAGTAAGTTAAGCTCGGCCATCCATCAGAACCGAATGAATGTTTATATTCGTATTATAGCAAGGGACCTTTTTTGATGTTGCAGTCACCATACTTCTACAGGGCAGGGAGTATAGTGGTGGTCACGAACAAACAAAGGACTTCTACGGAAGGTCTCTTGGATGACCACTTTACCATATATGCCAACGCAGATCCGGTGAGTAACCATACTTTAGGCGAGAATTTTTTGTCTAAATAAGACAGCGCGAAGTGTAATCTATCGCTAGAATCGGCCATTGCAAAATAGTAAATCGCAGCCTACCGGCGATTCTAGCGGTAGATGACGCTTCACGTTGTCTTATTTCGATAAATCACACACTTTCCGAAAGACCCAAGCCTGGACCATGCTGAGGAGTAGCCAAAAGCACGAAACAGCTGTCCATGTTTATTTTACAATTTTTCATATAAACAGCACAATAGTTAAGTCTATGGTATATTTAGTCCGGGGTGGTTATAAAACTTTAAACATTTGAATAAGGTAAAATATGTATTCGTTGATCAAAAGATATCCATCTCCAACCATCAAAGACCGGGATTTTAAAATAAACCACATGAATTGTTTACAAAGTGATGAATAAAATTATATCTGGTAAGACATTGGAGGGAGGCAAAGTACAAGCATCGTCGCATATGCTCGGAAAAATATTCTGAACATGTTTTTTTTTTATTCAAGGACCCCTGTTAACGAATGTGCATATTGCCAGACCCAAAATAAAATAAAAAACTGTATACACAATATACACTTCTGGGCTGAAGTAGAACTTTGAATCAGCACCCACCTTATACCCAGGGGTGTGTTCACTATTTGTTCAATTTGTAGTCTTTATGATTCGACAGGCACTTCGAAAGACATGGGCTACTAAGCCATTATATTTTAATATACTTCTCATTTTTCCAGAAAGGATATGCCACAGGATTTCTCTACTCGGATGATGGAGTGAGTTTTGATTATCAAGACAAGGATTATTTCTGCCTATTGGAGATGAAATACTATACCCATCCGGTGTACGGTTTTCATTACGAACAGGTTAAAGGAAATATGGAACTTAATTTTTCTTTTAAGGAAATTGTGGTACACGAAATACCAGAGTCAGGTAATATTATATCTCGTAATATTCTATGAACGGAAGGTGAAAAAACTTGCTCTCCAAACTTCAATTGTAGATTTTCGGGATAAAGCATATATTTTAATACGCATTTTTTTTTTTGTGAAATACTATAGTAGTTGAATAGACAAGCTGTAACCAGCAGAACAGTTGGAGGAAGCAAACACATTGTTATTTTGCATTTTTTATTGATGCTTAGCACAAATAAACGAAATCGTTCCAACTTTATCATCAAAATGCTAAATAGATACGACCAGCAAAGAAAAATCTTTCTGACATCGATTACAGCTTGTGATGACAACTGCTACAGCCTGTGAAATGGAAATTTAGATCTTCCCTTGAACATTGTTCAAGGAAGCGTCACTGTTTCCAATGAAATACCGGGTCCGCTACCTTTTATGTCGGTATTGAAACATCGAATGGCTTTGATATTTACCAACCGAGTGATACGGTTATACATGTTTCTGAAAAGTCAATGTACTACAATTTTAGTCATGAATCGCTTTTCACCGAGACAACGCGCCGAAATAGTCACAATGTACATTGAAAATCGTCGTTCAGTTGTGTTAACGCAACGTGCATATCGACGAAAATATCGTGACAAACAGGCAGCGTCTGACAACACTATCCGTCATTTGGTTTCGAATTTTCTTGAGTACAACGACCAAGACGTTCCAATGAATTGATTGAAGCGGTCAGAGACAGCGTTGCCCAGAACCTAAAAGTGTCGTATCGTCACCGCGCTCAGCATTTTGGCATCTGTGGAACTACCTTGCGGCGCATTTTGAAGGATTATTTGCATTTGTTTCCTTATAAGGTGCAGTTAACACAAAATATAGCCAACTGACCATTTTTGGAAGCAAATTGTGATGACCGTCGAGGCCCATTTCACGCTCTCTGGCGGCGTTAATAAACAAAACTGCCGCATTTCGGGGACGGAAAATCCACATGAGATCCACGAAATGCCGCATGAACGGAATGTAACTGTTTAGGCCGGCGTTTGCGCCAAAACCATCATTGGGCACTTTTCCTTCAACGAAAACGAAACTGTCGATGGAAATCGATATCGGTGGATGTTGGCTCATTATGTCTGTCCACAAATGCGTGAAAAAGGTCCTGATGGTTACTGGTTTCAACAAGACGGTGCGCCATGCCACACTGCAAATGAAGCAATCCAGTTTCTGCAACGAAAATTCCCTGGACGTCTGATGTCAAAAAGAGGTGACATTGACTGGCCACCCAGGTCTCCAGATTTGACCCCACCGGACTTCTTCTTGTGGGTGAAAAGTCAAGTGTACGCCAGCAAGCCCCAGAGCACTGAAGAACTCAAGGCAAACATTCGTACCATAATCGCCGCTGCAATACCAGAGATGCTCGAAAAAGTGATGGAAAACGCAGCAAAATGGGCACATTTTGATTTGGCCAATAAAGGTGGCCACTTGATAGATGTTGTGTTCAAAAAATAGTCCCAATAAATTGTAACGGGCCATATTTAATAAAAATACCCGATATATAGAAATCGGTTTTTCGTATTCAATGTTTACATACCGACATAAAAGATGGCGCACCCTGAATGTATATATATAAACATTTAAATCTGACTCTAAGAGACTCTCACTTACAATAAATCTTGAAAATTCATATTATTTATATTTTGTATTCATAAAGGTTCAGCTCTAATCGTCCCTTTAGTCTTTCATTACAATCAAACATTTGCCTAAACCAGATCTACGAGCTATAAGCAATTTTAAATTCTCATTTTGGACTATTGAACTTCAAACTTTTGAGCTTGGAGAAAATAATGTTTCATTAAAATATGTTTTTTTCAGGAAACATAGCACCAATCAGTATCGAGGTAGTCCCTGGCAAATAGCTGAAACTGGGACAATATAATAATATGTACATATTTTAAATAAATTATTACTTGAACATTGAGTTATGTAATAACTATGCAAAAGTAAACAATATTCTCAAATGATGATTACAAAATTATAGCAAAATAACACTTGAATGTCACACTTGAAGTTTTTATACTTATGCAATTTCCTATGATTCACATTTTAGTAAATATTCATCCGAGTATGTATCGAGTTGATATAAGTGCATCGCTATGATAAGGTATGGATCGATCAATACTTTTTTCACTATTAATCCGAGGAACGACCTCAACCTTCGGATGGAAAGTAGCTTCTCTCCCTAGGCTTAGGTTAATAATAAAAGAAATAATGTCAAGTAGGTTGACTCAGCACTTTCTACGCAACGCCATTATCAGTTCATAAAGAATTTAGTTCAGCGCGATTTAAATCCTCGCAGGAAAAAGTCCGTTACGAACATGTACAACAGAGAAATTAAATGGACCAAGTCAGTCAAACAGGCCCATATAATTTGTCCATAGACATTCTTTCCTTGCCTTACCGGTAGTTACTGTCCATCTGGCAATGTTGTCCCTTTACACATCTGTACGGTAGCGCCTAGCACGGCATCGCTGCAGCGAGTTACCGTTCATTTCGTGCAAGGTCGGTGTACGTTTTCTGCGTTCATATTTACCGGGCTTGGGAGCGTATAGATACATAGGTTGAAAAAATGTCATATATTTCCCTTACCCCAGAAACTTTTCTAAAAATGATCAAAATTCTCTAAAACGTCAAAAATTAGAGTTTGAGCGATTTTTATTTTCTTTGTTTTTGGCTTTTTTCTCTGAATATTACAAAATCCAAGCGGTAGGTATGTACTTCTCAAGTTGTAGACGGGCCAAGGATTAGCGGACAGACAGACAGACAGACCGACGGAAATGAGTGACATGGTTTTTCCTGGTGTACATGTCATATAACATCCACAAAATACAATATCTTATTTTCGCGATTTTAGTACTTCCTCGCCCAGAGGAGTAGGACATAAAAAATAAACCAATAGTAAATTTAAAATCATACTTTGTCAGTTTCGTTACGTCAGTTTGACTACTAAATTCTTTATTTTGAAATATTTTAAAATCAATGCGAAATACCAAATATTAGGAGCAAATATTCTAGCTGTTCTTGAATACCTCAACGATCGCGGTCGGGGTAATACTGGGTCCTCAGCAAGAATTGGATTACTGTGCAAGTTCGTGTACTTGCGGTCGAGCAGTAGAATCTCAACTTTGTCGAGTATGTAACCAATTGTATCTGTCGACATTCTCATGTAGGAGTGGAATCTTTCCTTGTCCCTCTTCAATTCGAGGAAAAGATGGTGGTACTCCCCAAGTTCCTGACTCGCTTTGTTCACCGGATGTGTACTATATTTTCGATTTGGTAGAGAACTCAACATCAACTCGGTTACTAGAGACAAATCACTCTCTCTGTCACTGTCACTCGACAACATCCTGCCTTATTATTCGCTCGTGAACGCATAAAACATTAATGACCGCGTTCAAGGAGCGAAGAGAAAACATCGAGGGTGAACACCCTCCATCCATGTAGAAAGTTTCGAGGAAGCGCTCACCTAGGTAGCGAAGAATGCATCACAGTAAGCATCTTTCACTATGTACGTACCCCGAGGTTTCTTGTGAGTGCATCAATAACGATCCTCCACTGACCTCAACCTTCGGATGGAAAGTAGCTTCTCTCCCTAGGCTTAGGTTAATAATAAAAGAAATAATGTCAAGTAGGTTGACTCAGCACTTTCTACGCAACGCCTTTATCAGTTCATAAAGAATTGAGTGCAGCGCGATTTAAATCCTCTCAGGAAAATGTCCGTTACGAACATGTACAATACAGAAATTAAATGGACCAAGTCAGTCCAACAGGCCCATACAATTTGTCCATAGACATTCTTTCCTTGCCTTACCGGTAGTTACTGTCCATCTGGCAATGTTGTCCCTTTACACATCTGTACGGTAGCGCCTAGCACGGCATCGCTGCAGCGGGTTACCGTTCATTTCGTGCAAGGTCGGTGTACGTTTTCTGCGTTCATATTTATCGGGCTTGGGAGCGTATAGATACATAGGTTCAAAAAATGTCATATATTTCCCTTACCCCAGAAACTTTTCTAAAAATGATCAAAATCCTCTAAAACGTCAAAAATTAAAGTTTGAGCGATTTTTATTTTATTTGTTTTTCGCTTTTTTCTCCGCTGCTACTGGACCGATTTTTAAAAACTGCAAAGGTTTTTCACACTTGGCATAGCAGCAGTCTTGTGTGAATATTACAAAATCCAAGCGGTAGGTACTTCTCAAGTTGTAGACGGGCCAAGGATTAGCGGACAGACAGACAGACAGACCGACGGAAATGAGTGACATGGTTTTTCCTGGTGTACATGTCATATAACATCCACAAAATACAATATCTCATTTTCGCGATTTTAGTACTTTCTCGCCCAGAGGAGTAGGACATAAAAAGTAAACCAATAATAAATTTAAAATCATACTTTGTTAGTTTCGTTACGTCAGTTTGACTACTAAATTCTTCATTTTGAAATATTTTAAAATCAATGCGAAATACCAAATATTAGGAGCAAATATTCTAGCTGTCCTTGAAAATCTCAACGATCGCGATCGGGGTAATACTGGTTCCTCAGCAAGAATTGGATTACTGTGCAAGTTCGTGTACTTGCGGTCCAGCAGTAGAGTCTCAACTTTGTCGAGTATGTAACCAATTGTATCTGTCGACATTCTCATGTAGGAGTGAAATATTTCCTTGTCCCTCTTCAATTCGAGGAAAAGATGGTGGTACTCACACAAATCACTCTCTCTGTCACTGTCACTCGACAACATCCTGCCTTATTATTCGCTCGTGAACAAATAACACATTAAGGACCGCGTTCGAGGAGAGAAGAGAAAACATCGAGGGTGAACTCCCTCCATCCATGTAGAAAGTCTCGTGGAAGCGCTCACCTAGGTAGCGAAGAAAGCATCATCACACCTTTCACTACGTACGTACCCTGAGGTTTCTTGTGAGTGCATCAATAACGATCCTCCACTGCGACTCTTTGGTCTATTGTGGCTCAATCGAGGTAGTGAAGACAGTATCACAGTAAGCATCTTTCACTATGTACCTACCCTACGGGTGCGTACACAACAACCAAGTACTCAAGCGATTTCGCTGGGAAATCATCGCCTATCCCTCCTACAGCCCTGACATAGCTCCTAGCGATTTCCATGTTTCCGAAATTTAAGTAGCATCCGCGGTCAATGTTTCGAGACGGGCGAGGAGTTGCAAGAAGCAGTTATAAAGTTTCTAAATGGACTGGCGGAAGACATCCTTGAGGCTGGAGTGCAAAAGTGGATTACACATCTGAAAAACTGCGTAGAAAAAGATATGTAGAAAAATAGCTCAATGATCAACGTTTCCAATTGTTAATTCGTTTTTTCAAATAAAAAATTCCTTGTGCCTGAAAAAAATGTGGGAACCTTATTTTTGAAATAACCCTCGTATTAGAAAGCAGAAAGAACAAACAACTAACCAACATTTGCATCTCAAGCCCAATTGTTGCATTCATTACAGTGATTTCCTGAATAAGTTGTAATCGCGCCAACCAAGGAATACGTTTTTTAAAATCATTTGAACTATTTGAAAGTGATGCATGATTCATTCTAGTTCAGAAGTTCAAAAAATACACGTAGAGACATGATTAGGTCAAGTGCCTCAAAAACTATAACGTATGGACAAATAGACGAAGGCCAGATATACTGGGTGTTAGGGAAATGATACTCGTAACTTTAAGAGGTGATTCCTTTCATTATTCTAAGCAAAAAAGTTCATTATAACCTATGTCCGAAAATCAACCGTTTCCGAGCAAAAAAATGCTGAACTTGTTTCTTTTTAGTCATGAAATAAATTAATTTTGCACCTTAATAATTTAAATTCTAATGCCTAGTAGCGTAAAATGTATCAATACATCTATTTATTAATTAACTGTTTCTAACAAAACAATTTTCTTGCTTATTAAACACAATTTTTCGAAGAAAAACAGACAAACAAAATCCCCCACACTCTGGCAACGTCGTGCTCCGCCTGCACTGCATGTATCATCGCGTGTTGTTGTGATTACTATTATACGTTACATTTAAATGTAACTTTATGTGATTTACGGATGTTGTTTTTTTTATTTTTTCGTGCATCGAATCGTTTCAAATAAGTGACTGATGATCGTGCGAATTGGTGGTGTGTATCGTCACGTACCGGTAAGTTCTGTCATTTTTTTAAGTAAATGTACTGTACTGAAAGCGTTATTAAATAAAATATGTTAGCCACAAAAAATTGCGTAAAAGTATTAAATAATTCAAGGCATATTTTCAACAAAAATATCATACGAACGTAAACAATTCGAAGAATCAGTTGCGGTCGTCGTACGCTCGTATCGCGGTTGCGTTGCAGCGTTGCCAAATGTTTGAGAAAATTTAATTATTTACAACTCACTTTCCTCGAAAACGATTGATTTTCGGACATAAGTTATAATGAACTTTTGGTTAGAATAGTGCAAGGAATCACCTCTTAAAGTTACGAATATTATTTCCCTGACACCCTGTGCATTTGTAATATAAATCAGTGCAGCATCTGGCCCGAAATATATTTTTGATATAGCTAATTATTCAGCTTTCGAGACACTCGGTACAATGAATATTTCTAAATGGCGACTGGCGTCTATGTTGGACCATTTCTTCAAATGGAATGGAAATATGAGTTCATTGTAATCCTATAATAAGAAATCACTTTCTTTCAAAACGGCGGACCGGCAGCCTGTCAAATTTGAGTGGCCTTATACATTGAATCGCTTATAATTCAACAATCATTCATGAGAATGCATCAATCTTCTTCTGATGGAAGAATCTATCTGACACATATATGAAACATTCTATTTAAACAACTTGACAAAATCTGAAATTTTTCTAAGCGGATTGTCCAAAATGTTAGCTCACACTCAAATACTCGTAGACTCTTCCAACAGAAGAAGATTGACGTATCATACTAAAGTATTTTGACGTTTATTTTTTTGAGATGCTGCTTGATGTTTTCAACTGTGACTTTTACGATAAAATATTCAATGTGCTAACTTGACTCGTTCAAAAAATAAATAGAGGGACTTTTTTTAAAAACACTGTAGATTTCCATTTAGTGTGGATAATTGTTCAAATCAGTCATACTGCGAATAACTATTACAGTATGTATACCTTTCTATTAGTTTCATTGCATATTTTGATACTCGACGCTATCCAAATCGTGGAAAATAACATGGAAACGTTAGCCATGTCGATTTAAAAATGTTATCAGCTGTTGATATGGATACAGCTATCAAAGTGGCGGACTATTTAAGCCAACTCTTCATAGTATCTTATATGTGTTAAAAATGTTGCTCAGGTGAGTTAGTTCTAGACTTGCAGCTCAGTTTTTGTTTGTAATATTTGCGACTTTCGTATGTGATCCTGATAGCTGAAAAAGTATACTAGCTTCAGATTCTTTTTGACCTATGATACCGAGTCCAAAATACGCGAGTCTAAAAACGGCATGATATAATTCTCAACTTCCTCAATGAAGCTTTAGATTTTAGTACTTTTTGGGGATTGGATGCGGTGTTGGTTGATAGACACAGTATTGAAACAAGATTATATTTCTTAAAGACAAACCTACATCTTTTTTTGCAAAAGGCTCAGATTGCGTTCTTACATATGCAGCGTGTTCCTCGCATTGGTGGAATCGGAGCGAGACGGATCGTAATCTGCCTTTGAAATGTGTGGTGAAACGCGTTCCAGGAGGGAACTAGCCTAAGCTTGAGATATTTGTAGCATTTTTTTAAATCTTAAGGGTTTTTGTTTGTCAGTCCAGCGTCTGTCAAATCGTGTTTATTTAAATGTTTTCAAGCAAGTATCAACTTTCTGACCCAACAAAGCTTTTTCTTTGATTTTTATCTGTTCGCATGATTCTCAACCTTTTCGCTAACCAACCACTAAAATCTGAGCTCAAAAGATCACAACTATAAATCAGAAGCTCCTTCATAGCCGGATTGATGGAATCAACTGAACCGTGATTATGTGAACTTTCCCTCATTCGGTCACTTCCCACTCTTAAAATGAATCACGAAAGAGGAATCGAAAGTGGGGCATACTTTACTTTTGTTGCCATGTGAGAATTAGTTGTAGGCTTTAGGATCATAGGCGCCCGCAGGAATTTTTCTCAAGGCGGGTCGCGATCATCAGCAAGACTTTTTGGGAAAATGTACCTTCCCAAAAACGAGCAAAGAGCAGAAGTGTATCTGCCCCCAACACTTTTTGAAGAGGGGGTAGCAAAATTTCTCTGGGAGGGAGCAAATTGTGCATATGAAAATTTCAAGACCCATTCAAATTCTTAAGGGGACCATGCCTGGCACCCCCTGTAGGCGCCTGTATTTTGAAACATATCATTTTCTAACATTTTTTGTATACTTGAGCCACCACGTAGGCATAAGTCCTAATACCCGTAGGTACAGGAAAAAAGGGTAGACTTCGCACGGACTCTAGTGAAGTAACACGTCTGCATGAGACATACACTTATCCTGGCTCCGCTTAAGTGATCCACCGGGTGGTACCTCCACGCTAGATAGTCTGAGACCGTCTACCACCTTCAATTATTCATTCTTCTAAACTAAAGAGTGAAATATATTAGCAATATTGTCTTAGGACTGAGTTGTGTTCCACGGACACTATCATGCAAAAGTTCAAAAAATTATTGAATTATAGAAAATTTTTTAAAGGTCATTTGAGAGAAAACAATTTCTAGTGATCTGCATATCACTAGGGAGCTCCACAGGCTATTTTTAGTTATTTTCAGTTGATATATGCAACATTTGGTGGGATTGATCGCATACTCTAAAAATAAATATCTTTTAAACAAATACAGTTCTCTAATGCCATGGGCACCATAACACAAAATAATGGATGGAGATTTGGAGAATGCAAATATAACTGCAGTTTTGTAAGACAGATATAAAATTTGGAATCGAGCCACAACTCCGGTACTCTGTACCTCTGTCATTTACGCCATATACAAATTTTTAGCAATTAAAGTGATTCTATATTATTATTAAGACAAATTACTATTTTAGGTGGTACATTATCTTAGGAGTATTGGCTGCTTTTACAATTGCAGCTGATCATACCCTCTTCAAGACTTGTGAGAAAGTCGGCGTTTGCCAGTAAGTAACACTGTGTTTCTTTGGACTATATTCATGTTACCATACAACTTTTACCCTAGGCTGTGAGTGATAAATCGATGTTAATGTATTTTATACCACATGTTTTGCTGATATGACAACAGCCTCAAAATGATCAGAAACATAAAAGAAGTACAAAAAAGTTTGGGATACGTAAAAAAGTTGAACTCCTCTACGTTCCCGAACACATGTTGCTTCCTGATTGATTCTCGGCTCATTCAGAATACATAGTATAGCCTAAACGTATAGGGCAAGAATTAATCGATGAGACATACTTCTCGCATTCAATTAAATCAATCAGCGCGACTATATGGCGTGCAGTCGATAAGACACCGAGATACATTATTGTCTGTTTTCTGAATTAATCTGGGCTAATTTTGGCAACGTTATCTCGTAATCTCTTCATGTGCAATGATGTTCTTCTCTGAAAAAATTGAGATATACCCTCCCCAACTACCTAACCCTCAAATTAACCCCTATAAAACCATTTCTGAAGATGATGAGGAGCATCTGAAATATCAAAAAAAGAAGTTAGAGCCATTTTTACTTTTTTCGACTTTTGCACATAGCTCCGCCACCACTTGACCAATCTTCAAGACTTCAAAGCCTTTTCGTCCTTGAAAACGTATAAACCTTGTGTGGAAGTTTTATTTTCGTGGTGTACATATAACATTCAAAAACATTATACCTCATTTTTGAAAGTTTTCGCAACTACTTCATCGCCAGTGGGGGGAATACTTCAGCAAATATAAGTTGGAACGCGTTCTGTTATGTTCTGAAAATTCTAGATACCTAATTGTTATGAGCATTAACTTTTCTGTGAAGGCGATAGTATAAATCTGTACAAAATTAAAACTTCGACAAATGTGTTGTTGTGAATTCTATGTTCTACATTTTCCAGACGATTGAGGAACACTACTGCTAATGAACTATTTAAAATAGAAAACTTGAAACCAACAACGGCAGGCAATGTCACTAATACATGGCAGCTTAGCAGAGGAACGGATAAGTTCACGCTTACAATAGAACTGTTAAATAACGCTAAAGTGCGGTTTCAACTGAAAGAAGAAGGTAGCAAAAGATATGAATTGAAAGATGTGTTAGATGAAAATCAACCACAACCAATCAAGTAAGATACGTACAAAACGTGCTCCTTTAGTTAAAAGGGTTTGAATGTTTAAACATTTTATTTCTGTGCTAAGGTAACCTTAAAAAATGAGTCAGCGAATAAAAGGTCAATATCTATGGCACTCTGGTTCCATGATACACTTTTATTGCACTCACAATAATACAGAGTGATTCAAAAAGTATTGGCAGTATGTATAAAGCATCAGTAAAGTAAAAAGTTCCTAGAAACAAACAATCTAAAATGTTACCAAGATACGAGAGGTGTTGTAATTTTCTTCGCCACTGATTAGAGATGGAACATGGGTATTTGTCTTTTGATAATATCGGGCTGCTCTTCAGAGTATTTTTAAATTAAAATTAATATGATCTCGGATTATACCTGAATTAAAAGAGATAAACTTCATATCAAATTAAGCACCAAATGTCAGTGGCCTAGGAAGTATTCCTCTTTCCCCTTTTGTATTGGTCAAACTATACGTTTTTGCACCACCGGAGTACCTTGAGCAACAATGTATACAAGTCACTGCCCTAAACCACTTCGGTGATATAATGTTTCCTCGATTTCGAAACTGTAACTTTAACACCCAGTGTCCCGCTAAGTGGACATTTCAGGATCCACGAATGTACTTTAATAATAATAATAATAATAATAATAATCCAGCTTTATTTATACAAAGTATAAAAAGGCGAAGTGTCGCTAAAAAGCGTTTTTCAACTTAACCCCCCCCTTATGCCATTGTCACTGGTTTTTGAATTACGCTGTATATGTTAATAAATATGCTGCAATTTTTGAAGGAACCTTCTGCGCATTTCTGGCGTAAAGAACTGTACCTCTCTCGAAATATTTGTTGTTATACTATTGCAGAGTTAAAGTTGAACCTTCCCAAGATGAAAAAAAAACAACAATAACACCTGATCCATCTACCAAAGAACAACACTCAATTGTCATTTATAAAGAACCTTTGAAGGTGGCATTTTTGTATAATGAGAAAGAACTGGTGGTTCTGGATAGTACAAATTTGGTCATGGAATACAAGAACGGAAAATTTGACGAAAAAGTATGTATACATATATAGGGTGTTCAATATAAGGATCCTATGCATGGGGATATCAATACCTGTAGGAGATACAGCTTAGGTTAAATTAGGAAAAAAGCTGCGTTGTTTGGGGCGTATTTCATGGCTTAGTGAGGTATTTGGGAAAAACTAAAATTTGGCCAAATCGTTTTTATTTTTTCTGACTTTATTTTAAGAAATATCAAAAAACTAAAGATTTTTTTTTATTGGCACTTTTTAGGTACTACATGATGATGTTTTTAAATGTTGTGCCTGGCGTTTCGTTTTTTAGAAACCATCATCGACTTTATTTCTTTATATTGTCCAAAAAGGTACACCCTCTAACTGATGGCATATTTCTCTATGAATTCAACGATGTATCACATGTTACATTTGTTTTCTTAGTTATAAGGAAAAATATGTTTTCAATTTTTGTATTTTATTCAAATAGGCTTTGCAAACAAATGCTTCATGTAAGATTATGTGATTACTGATAGATGCATATTACATATTACATAATATTATATTATGATGCGGTAAAATTTTATTGAATGATGCTTAATCCAGTAATATTCAGAGTAACGGATCCATTTTTAGCAGTAGTTTTTTAGTCACACTAATTGTTCGAATAGGTTGCCATTCTTTTCTAAACGTAAATATAATCTTTTAACAGTAGGATTCAAAACATCACGTAACATTTCTGGTGTAATCATACTAAATGTATCCATTACACATTTTCATAAGTCCTGCTCAGTTTCAAAAGTATGCTGATGAATTTGGTTTTTAATAAAACCCAAAAAAAGTCCAGAGGAGTTAAATCCGGGGAACACGCTGGCCAGAACACTTTACCGGAGCACCGTTCTTCGGTTATTGAGTTGTGGTAAATAAATGGATCTAATAATTTAGTCCCTGGAATTCCACACCACATACTAAATCCAACATTTTTATATATTTTTCTTAACCGGTAGATTTTCTTGAGCCCAGTAATAAGTATTTGGGCAATTAAAGATACCATTATTTGTGACCATACTCTCTTCGGACCATAGATATTATTTTTGAAGGAAAATTATATTCGTCTTCACACGTTCGTGTGTACCACTCACAAAAATGATGGCGTCAAGTCAAGCATTTGTTCACAACGCCTAGAATAAAAAAAAACAGACATAACGCATTTTTCGTTATAACCAAGAAAGTGAATGTAACATGTTATACATCGTTGAATTCGTATAAAAAATGCTATTAGATACAGGGTGTACTTTTTTCGGACCATATAAAAAAATAAAGTTGATGATGGTTTGTCAAAAAAGAAATGTCGGACACAAAATTTAAAAACAGTGTAGTGCCTAAAAAGAGCCAATGGAGAAAGAAGGCTATCAGTTATTTGATATTTCTTAGAATTAAGTCTGAAACATAAAAATGATTTGGCCAAATTTCAGCTTTTTCCAAATATCTCAGTAAGTCATGCAATTATTCCGCAACGACATCTAAATATGCCCCAAAGAACGCAACTTTTTCCTAATTTCACCTAAGCTGTATCCGCCACAGATACTGAGATCCCCATTACAGATTACAGATTGCAGAAGAAAGGGGTGGACTTGCCAGTCTTACGTCACTGCGACCCATTTTTTTGTATTACGACCCCCATATATACTTTCTTAAGCACTGTATCCAGCCTTGATCCTTTAATCAGACTTGAAGCACTCTGCAGAATGCGGCCTCTTCTGCCTTATCCAAGAGCCTCATATGTCGATTTAGACCTCGGTGCCCTCTCAGGAGACCCACTATGACCCTTGTGGCCTTTCTATTGAATCTGGGTAGGTCCTCTGTAAATGCAGGCCTTCATTGTTTGATGGACTCTTTTGCCTGCCTTTGCCCCAATTGGCTGTTCCACTGAGATCCCCATGCATAAAATCCTTATCTTGGACACCCTGTACAGTGCTTTTCAAAAAGCATAGCATTTTATCGACAATTAAATAACAACGCTTTAAGATGAAATAAGCTTCAATTGCTCTTCGGGGTGCTGTAGGAGAAGGTTTTTTTTTTAGACAGATTGAGAACTTTTTAGGCATTAGAAGTGGCCATTTCTAAGGGTTTTAGATATATTGTAATTCGAAAACGGTCAACTTTAGAGAAACGTTATAAGTTGTTTATCAAATTTGCATTGGGTAAAAAAATTCGAGTGGAAATTTCTCCCAGGAATGCGAAGTTTTTTCCATGTCTAGCACATCATGGTTATTGCCAAACTATCCATGACTAGGTTCACTTATCATCCACAAGATACTATGTTTTTACCGAACTGATGAACGATTTTAAAAAATGATATTGATTAAATTCAAACCTTCACAGGTACTTGATTTTTAAATGATTAAACGTTCTTATCGATATATGTTTTTTTAGGATGTAGAAATCAAGGATATTGGATTCAATGTGATATTCAGCGATGCCTTGAAGTTGTATGGTCTACACCACCACGCTTATAATTTGGAATTGCCAGATACAAGCGATATGGAGCCCTTCAGATTACGGAATTCTGATACTGCAAACTTTGAAGCTAATTCGCCCATGGCACTTTACGGATCTGTACCAGTTATTTATGGCCATTCGTAAGTAATAAGTAATAACCAGTGCAACGCACTGAATATAAACACGTAAATCTCCATATACTGAACATAAATCCTTAAGCTTTACAATACTCCTATCTATTCTTGTGTAAAAGCATTGATTAAACGCGATGTGCCTGCCAGACATATCCTCCTGACTTCGACTGCCCATCCTCTCCTCATCGTGTCAAACTTCGTACATACAGAACTGGTTGATACGACCGCTCCTTTCTGCCTAGGGTATCGAGATTGTGAAGCAATCTACGTGAGAAGCCGTTGCAATTCAAAAATCGGATGAACCAAGTTTTTTCAAGCTCCCTAGAGCAGTGGTTTTATTCCACCAGAAGATACCAACCTCATCTCAATTGAAAACCGTGCATACGCGAAAACCGGCGTATGTACCGTGGTGGTCTCAACCACTTATGTTCATAATTGAGGTGGGTGGACCTTGGAAGGATATGCTCATGGTGAGGTCGATTATTAAAAAGTCGTAGTTATTTCCATGCGTTGACAAATTTCTGCATTCACACTCACACCCATCGATCTCGCTTGCGTCGTTATTTTTTCAATGCGGCTCTTCGTTTTGTAGTCGTTGGTTGTTGACGTTAAAATTATAATCCTACCTCCTAACAATACAAAAGTTTTCAAGTGAATAAGCTATTACTTTCCTTAATTTTTTTAATTGTACGCCATTTTGGTCCGTTTATCTTTTAACAAAATCATAAAGGTTGTTGAAAAACTTATTTGATTGAAATGGATATGTTTGCTTTCTGTCTCTGTTACTACGAATAACCGCAGATAGCGCTGTTTCGTGGTCATTAGCAACTCATCAGTGCGGTAAATGACCAGTAGTCCTGGAGATAAAAGAACGGAAAGCAAACAAGTGGGTATGGCCGTTTGAACAACTCAGTTTTCACCTACCAATACCAATGGTTTGCCAAGTGTAGCGGAGCGAGCGGTCCTCCGTCAGCTTTCATCATATGGGATGAGGATGAAGATCAACTTTATCGAAAACCCAACGAACCGGAAAGTCTAAGGGCCGTATCATCAGTCATTCCTACAATTGTTGGACGACTTTATGGCCTCTGACTGACGATACGGCCCTAAGATCATGTGAGAGAATGCGCCATTGAATAATGAAAACGAAAAACCTGCTTTGATCACGCCATATTTTCAAATATTTTTTACACAAATGGTACCTGAGGAGTTTAATTCTTAAGGACGTGACAATAATATGTATATATATAGATATTTTTTTGTATTTTATGTCGAGTATTCACGTAAATATATCATAAACTACATTAAACAACAGGCGCAGCTGCGCTATAGCCTAGCTGCTGTTGTTGCGTGAGTCAGTGGACGACACAGTCGAGCAAGTTCGCATGCACAAAAGGCCGCGGCTCGCACAGAAATGAAAATTAATTCGTGAACTTAGAACAACCAAAATTGGAGCATTTTTACAAAATCTTTAGGAAAGATCGAATATTTTTAGACCATATCAAAATCTGTGAAGTGATCTTAACAATGCCTAAACGCTGCCTATCCTAAAAGATTCTCTTCTTCCGCTTTGCTCTCGTTCTTGCTTCTCTCCTTTCCTTCCCTTTTTTCCTTAAAATTGTCTGGTTTCGGAGTTACCAGACCTGACAGACTTACAAACTGACACTGTGACTCAAGAGCTAAGGTCCCACGGACCGCTCTGACAACCAACGATGACTTGACATAATATCATAAACTGTTATTTTGGCGTGCTTGGAAGAGACGTCATAATTCATCATTTGTCATTTGATTCCATTTTTGGTTAGGTTAATATCGAGTTTTTTACATACCATCTGTTTACAAAGTATTTATACAGGGTGACTTTGAAGTTGAGTCATTAATTTTCAGATAATGATTGTAGAAGGAAGATAAACCAAAATATGTGTGTAAAAATAAAAAAAAATTAAAAAAAAAATGTTACCTTGTTTTATAAAGTATCCTCCCGACAAGTATTTCAGTGCGGACCTGTGCGCCCAAAAGCATGTCACAAAAACTGTTCGAAATGATTTCCGTTTTGCTCGACGCACAGCTGGGCGCGTCTTAGCCATGTCTCTTTACAAGCACGCAATAAAATCACTGGTTGATTTCTGATCACTGTACTTATTTCCTCAATTCGAGCACGTAATTCTTCCCGTGTATTAACCGGTGTTTTATACACTAGAGTTTTTAGCCAACCCCACAAACAAAAGTCTAAAGGATTTAAGTCCGGAGACCTTGGCGGCCAAGGTACAAAACCGCCACGGCCGATCCAACGATTATTAAATTGTCTATTTAAAAATTCACGCACATTTCTTGCATAATGGGGTGGTGCCCCATCTTGTAAAAACCACATGTTTTGTCTAATATTTAAAGGCACATCTTCCAGTAAACCAGGCAAATTGTGTTGCAAGAAATCAAAATAATTTTCACCAGTTAAGCGATTTGGTAATTCAAAAGGCCCCACTAAAATTCCATTAACAATTCTCGCCCACAGGTTGATTGGTTCAAATCGCTGTTGAAAATTGGTTTCCCTTATTTCATGGGGATTTTCAATAGCCCAAACGTGAGAATTACGTGAATTAATAATTCCGTTTCTAGTAAAGAGGGCTTCATCACTCACTAAAATTTGATTTAAAAAATTGTCATCATTTTGATGTTTATTTAAAAGCCAATTGCAAAAGTCAACCCTTTGTTCATGATCTTCCGGTTGTAAGGCCTGCACTTTTTGTATGTGAAACGGATAGAACTGATTTTCACGTAGAGTTTTCCAAGTTTTATACTGACTAATCGCCAATTGAGTTGAAATTTGTCGGGTGCTTACTGTTGGATCATCACTTACTAATTCTAAAATTTGTTCTTCTAGTTCTATTTGATCGTGTGGTCTTGGAGCACCGGCATGATCTCCTCTGTGAGGTCTTAAGTCACCTGATTCACGAGCTCTTTGCACTACATTAACAAAGGCACGAGGGGTTGGTTGCACTCGATTGGGAAACCGATCCGCATAGATCCGTGATGCCGCGGCAGCATTTTGTAAATAAGAACCATGTCCACAAGTTCAGCATTTTCGTAAACATGTGCCATTTTTGATTTGAGCCTCGCAACAGACACGATTATTCACTTACGCGTTACCGACTACCGACTGATACTGACTGTATACAACTGAAGAAAATAATTGTAAAAAGATCGTCCCAAATTCTTTCGCTTTTTTGTTTCCGATGCGATGAACGGATAAGGCGGATTATATCTGTTGTTGCCAAACACGAGAACATAATATCATAATGAGACAGGGCGGTACTCAAACTTCCAAAGGGCTATAACTTTGTTACTTTAATTTTACCAGAAAAATGGTAAAGGAAAAAAACATTTCTTTTGATCAGATCTACTCACTGTTAAAATAAATGACTCAACTTCGAAGTCACCCTGTATATTATGTTTATTACTAAAAATTACATCTAAAGGTCGACTGTCTCGATACGAAATTTTGTGCTAAATTTAGTACGCTAAATTTCGTACCTAATTGAGGATAGTGTCAGAGAGCATTTAGTACATAATTTTGCATGAACAATATTAGTGTTAAATTTTTCAGAATGTCTTCTAAATCATATCATGCTAAATCTAAACAAAATCGATTTAATAGTCACCTCTTAAAAGCCTTTACCCAAAATTAACGTGCACCAGTGGCGGATACACAGGGAATTAGTGGCATTATTTTTCCTAATAAAAATAGTACGTCACTGTTTGTTTTCGAAATGCGTAAAATCTCGAATTTTACCTTTAATTTGCTACAAATAATTATTCTTGTGTTTTTTTCTAGAGTGTATTGTTTTCGTAATCATAAAGAAAGCCGATTAGATAATCAAAGCTTTATTTCAATAAATGTGCAAAAAGACCACCATTATGACGGTTACAAGTGCGGCATCTTTTTAGTTAAGAAAAACGTATTTCAGCAAAATTTGATGGGGCTTGAATTTGATGAAAAGTATTATCTATTCTTTCTTGTAACTGATGAACAGTATTAAGTTGTTCAGCATACACTAGTTGTTTGAAAGCGCCCCACAAAAATAAATCCAGGGGTATATTGGTCGATTTCTGCCAATCCATCGTTGTCTAAAATGATTATGCGATGAGGCACCGTCGTGCTGATACCACATTCATACCCTCGTTGCTAACGGCACATCATCTAACACATTTTCTATGTAATTATCTAGAAAAGCTAAGTATGAGTTTGCATTTGAACATTGTGGCAATTCGTGCTTAAACAGTTGCCGCAGCACACATTTCTAGAAAATCTGTGTTGAAACGAGTGGATTCTTACAGAACGGGGATTTTATAACGACCAAATACGTTCATTATGAGAATTAAAAGTTCCACCACTCGTAAAAAGCGATTCATCTGATCACAAAATCAAACCAAGAAAATCTGCATTTTGATTATGCATTTGCAATAACCAATCACAAAAATTTCACCGCTTCACTTCGTCGCCGGGTTGCAGATATTGCACATTTTGCCGATAGTAAGGTTGTAAAACTTGCCGATTCAAAATTCTCCACGCAAGACTTTGGGAACATGGTAACTAGGATGTAATCCGCCTAGTACTTGAACTAGGATCATCCAGCGCCAAATTAATTACTTCCAGTTCCTCTTGAACAGTAACGTTTGGGGTAGGTTCACGTCTTAAGGAAATCTACGTTGATACCCCCGAGAAGCCCCTAAAGCATTTCCATTACTGAACCCGTACACAAAAATAATATCGGCGTACTCATCATTGCTAAATTTCAGTTCACAACACTTAAAAATGGAAACAAGAAACTTTTGACTTGACTTTTACAAAACAGATGGTAGTAGTAACAACAACCGTAAAACACATAACTTTGTTAAGAAACGTGAATTGGTATCAAGGCCTCCTATTTTATTTTGAAACTAATTTTATCACGGCTCTTCATGAATAATCTAATTTGTTTTATTTTTACGAAAACAGTGCACGCTAGGAAAAAAGCACAGGATTAATTATTTGTAGTAAATTGAAGGTAAAATTCGAAAAGTTGCGTGATTCGAAAAAAACAGTGGTGTACTATTTTTATTTGGCAAAATGATGCCACTAATTCCCTATATCTCCGTCACTGGTGCACGTGAATTTTATGTAAAGACTTTTGAATGTGGACAATACTTAGATAAATCCACATACCATCTCTTATTCATTCAAGTTTTGAAGACATTGAAAAATGTTTTTTATTTTTCAACTTCAACACCCAGTAGGTACCTTTTTGAAGCCTTCGAGGAAAAAATGTAACATAGAAGACCGCCCTTAAAATGCGGTCCTGTGTGTGATGTTCCATTTTTGGTCACGACTTGTCAATCACCCTGTATAACTTGAAAACGGAACATTTCTTAACATTTCTGCATTTGTATGATTTTTTTATAATCGCCCCTCGAAGGCCAGGAACTTGATTAACTCCCTGTATGCTCTGGGTGATCTTCTATTCCAATTTTCAGAAACAGTTCGACCACAGGGATATTTCTTCACAACGCTGCTGAACAATGGGTAGACATTAGATACACAAAGGATGGTTCTCCATCGGCTCATTTTATGGTCGACAGTGGAAGTTTCGATCTTTTTGTGATGTTAGGACCGAATATTGAAAACGTCGTCCAACAATTCACCGACCTTACTGGTAAAGCGCAAATGCCCCAGGTATGCTTTATACTATTACAAGTGACATATAACACAGGGCAGTTTGTAATGAATACACCGAAAATCATTCATAACGTGTAGTCTTGATATTACTTGATAATTTTCCTAATATAAATACGAGTAAATTATAAATATACAACGGAAAGGCTTGGTCACAGATTTCATACAAAACAATACAAATTGAACCAAATAGTTTGTTCGACGTATAGCAAATAATAATACAATAAAACTGTAAACTCACGTAGAAAAAAAACATTTCTTCATCTGCTGCTACAAAAAAAAACCTAAATTAGCGTTTCATTCGCTGACCACTAGTTAAGACACATGAGGATCCTAACGGATTTATAATTATTAGTAATAATTTATATCATAATAATTATTTTTAAGCTGTGCCTGTTATACAACATGCATAATAGCTACAGATGTATGACTGTCCTCGTGAGCATGTAAAATTAGTTGTTGAGTTGCTATTTTTGAAGAAGTTTAACTTTAAATTGTTTTGATATTTATAGAAAACATTGGAAAATATATTTTTCATAGATGACGCTGCATGGTCCAGAAGCCCTTGATCCGCCGCTGATGTTAGGCGGGCCCTAATCTTTCTTCCTATCAATTCTGTCCTTGAATCTACCGAGTCAAGGTCACTATCTACCAATTTCGTGGTTTTCGGTTTGGCAACGCTGTTTGCATGCTCCATTTGAGATGCCAGTCTCGTGACAATTCTCGATTTTCTACCTGCATTTTCATTAAAATACAAAATACGGCACATCAGTTGTACAAATGAACATCATTGGGATCTTTAGAAGAATAAAAATATAATTTGCCATCAAGTATCAAGTAATTTGACAATGCTTGACCTCAAGTCAAGTAGAACAATAAAGAAATCAAGTCAAGCATGAACGTTTCAAGTAATTTTATTTTCAAGTCAAATAGTTCATGGAAATATCAAGCTACTTGACTTGATGAATCCGGTTTTTTGTTTACTGAAGCTTCGTGATTTTGGAGACAAGTTTTGTCTACTCTGGAGCCCTCATAAATCGCGTTCTGAGGCCCCCTTGGTTCCCCCGGGCTCGACGTCGTGTGCGCTATCTTAGATCCGCATCTGGATCCTGTGAAGTTTTCCCTGTCACCAGAAAAAAAATGCGAGTCTGCCATATTACTTCTTGGGAGAAAAATAATTCCTTCAGGTAAATATGATGGCTAGTTGTCCGACCTGCACGGATTTGTACAGTTTCACGTATTTTCTCAAATTTATATTTTTTGGTTAATTATCAAGAATTATTTACGAAAGATACATGATCCGACTACATTTCAACATCCACCAATCATGAAGTAGCTTTACAACTGGAACAAAAAAAATGCCAGGATGAGAACCTTCACGTACAGATAGAATGCTAACCTAATTCATTTTCTTGTGAGTCTACTAAAAAAACTATGATAGACCTCCTGGCGAGAAGTTTTTTTTTTTTTTGGTGAGTGGGGAATGCGTTTATGCACCATACCATAGCCCGAGCTACGGCGTGTGTGGGACTCCAGGTTGTCTTGAGGAGACCACCTAATACCCACTAAACCCTAACCTCCGCGTAGCCCGACTCATCAGCGTCTCGGTAGGCCATGTGTTGTGCGTGACCTGCGGTCTGCTACAACATCTCCTCATGTGTTTCAGTCTCTGGGAACGCCGGGTTGGTTCCCTTTACCTCGCACATTCTATCGATGTCGTTAAGCGATCATCGATAGAGGGTCTGCTAGGTTTTCTTGAAACTCTTGTTTTCGAAAAATCAAGAGTTTCAAGTCCTCTTACCTATATATTGTTCCTGGTCCTGGTCCTGATGGGTCCTGGTCCTGGTGGGTCCTGGTCGTGGCGGGTCCTGATCCTGGTTGGTCCTGGTCCTGATGGGTCCTGGTCCCGGCGGGTCCTGGTCCCGGTGGTTCCTGGTCCCGGTGGTTCCTGGTCCCGGTGGTTCCTGGTCCTCTGCATCCACGCCGTGGGGGGGGGAGCAACCGCGGGGTCTCCTAGTCACCTAGTCAAGGTTCCAGTTAGCGTCTGCCAACTGTGACTTGGGTCTAGGGTACCTGGTTCTGCGGTTGCGAGGCCTCTGGTCCGGATCGTAGTCCATGAGGAATCGTAGCTGCTCGTTCGGGTGGTCTTGAGCTTTCTGGAAGGTCTTCTCCGCTTTTTTCCTCATGTACTCGTGAATGGTGTCCCAATGCAGGTCTCTACGCAAGGTTGAGTTTCTTACGTAGGATGGTGCACTGGTGGCGATCCGGAGTAGCTTCATCTCTAGAGCAGCAAGTCGCTTGCGGTAGCTGGGGGCAGCGTACCCCCAGACCGCGGAGGCGTAAGCGAGCTGAGGTCTGGCGATGGCCTTGATCAGCCGTAGCTTGGTCGCTAGCGGCATCCGGCTGTGTCTACCCAGTAATGGGTAGAGTTGAGTCATGGCTGCTCTGGTCTTTGCGATGACAGCTTCTATGTGGGCTTTCCAGGTGAGGGACTTGTCAAATACGATCCCCAGATATTTGACTTTGTCGCTCCACTGGATATCTTCGTCGAAGATGGATGCTTCGAGAGGTCTTGCAATCCTTCTTCGTTGGATGAAGATTGCCTGCGTCTTCTGGACGTTGATGCGGATTTTCCATTTCACGCACCAGTCCTTCATGTGGTTCAGTTCATCCTGTAGTCTCCTACGGATGATCTCGGGTCGTCGATGCTTGGCGGCTATAGCAGTGTCGTCTGCATATAGGGCCAGCATTGTGTCAGCTGTCTTCGGTACGTCGTGAGTGTAGATGTTGTAGAGCAGGGAAGCTAAGGCTGACCTCTGGGGCACGCCTGCTTCCAGCTATCGTCTTGTTGAGTGGCATGTACCAATCTTCACCGTGAACCATCTTTGTGTTAGATAGCTCTGGATCAGTTGGCACATGTTTGCATCGATTCCGGCGGCTTCCATTTTGGCGATGAGTCCATCGTGCCAAACTCGATCGAAGGCTCGTTCCACGACTAGCAGGACGAGGCTGGTTGCCTCCTGGAGATTGAAGCCACTGGTGATGTTTTCTGTCAGTCGTAGCGCTTGGAGTTCCGTGTTGTGGGAGGATCTGAAGCCGAATTGCTCTGGGGGGAGAAGTTCCAGTTCTTCTGCTTGCTTCTCTAGTCGAACGGCGATAGCCTTTTCGACTACTTTGCCCATCGAGGAAACCAGGCTGATGGGCCGGTAGTTCTGGGGCAACTTCCGGTCCTTGCCTGGCTTGGTGAGCATTATAACCTGGGTTTCCCGCCACCGCCGCGGGAAGTGGTTAAGTCTCAGAGTGGCATTGGCGATGTTGGTGAGCGCAGCAATGCCTTTGGAGGGAAGGTTCTTCAGCATCCTGTTGTTGATGCCGACCCTTCCCGGCGCCTTTCTGACCTTCAACCTGCGGATGATCAGACGGATTTCCTCTGGACTGGAGGGGTGATCCGTCTCCTGGCCAGGTGGTCGTCTCCTCATGATTTCAGCTGTGACTTTCACGGCCTCCTCGTGGTTGTCGTCCTCGTCTTCATGGTAATTGAGTCTGCATTCGGATTCTAGCGAATCGGCGAATGCTTCGGCTTTTTCTTCACTGGAGTAGGCCAAGCCGCGTTGGCCGTGAAGAGTGGGGATCGTGGTGCGCTGACGACGAAATTTTCACTGCATAGTCCAGGCCGTACCATACTGGGCCTCTAGTTCTGCACAGGCTGCATTCCATCTGCTGTTTTGGAGTTCCGCGAGTGCGTTCTTCAGAGCTAGCGATGGTCATTTTCGCAACTCTCGATTCCTCTGTCAACAGCTGGAGATGTTCTCGCTTAAGTCTTCGGTTCTCCCTGATCAGGTGCCTAATATGGTGCGGTGCTGGACCATTTAGGTGAGAAGATTGTGTATTCCCCGTATTTATCTTTCTTACACCTTCTGATTCTTTTCTCTTTTGTATGCTAGGTTAATGAATTGCTGCTTTATATTAATAGTGATTGGCTGCATGGACATTATTATGCCCTAAAGCTCCAAAAAAAACGAATTCATTCTTGTTGAACTTTCGTGATGGGAATCAAGGGCGGATTCAGGATTCAGCCCCAACTACCGTCTAGGGGGGACGCAGACGGTAGTTGGGGCTGGTCATTTTTTAACCTCAGTGGAACTTCTAGAATTTATCCTATTATTGCTCCTTAAATCCATTGTGTTCTATCTGGTTAAGGCCAGCTTGAAAAAAAACATTGTAAATGCTCAGATATCCTCAGAAAGCCAATATTTTATTATATGAGAACAAAATAAGTACGTGATAATTATAATTAACTACTGTAATAATATTAAAGAATCAAACATAAAAAAACTCCATTGCTCTGTTAGCCGAAAATAAATAAATAAAACATTCTGAGGGACCCCGAGACATTTCCCAGTCCATTCCACACAAAACAATGTATTTGATTGCGAAAACGAACACGAAACTAGAAAATTCACATTATCGTATGAACGCAGAAGACAAAGAAGGATGTGTATAGACCATCAATAGATCGTGTCTTGAGACCGTCTCCAGACTGCCTATGGACAAATTACGTAACGGGGTCTACTAGTATGTACTAAGCTTAAGGATTAAGACTCTGAACTGCTCATTAAACAAATCATGTAAATGGTGCAAATCCTGCACAATTAAGCACTTCTATTATATCAGCAGGTAATAAATATATCAGGTACAACCAATTATTTTTATTTTTTATACCGAAGCAGCCGCGCAGGCAGAAGCGTAAATGCCGGAACACCACGGCTGCTATGATGATCCCAAAGAATTTTGTTAACACCAGGTTAGTAGAACTGGGAAAAGCTCCCTCTTGTAGATTTTTCCACAATCTCGACACCCTCGGGACAAAGGAGTGGTCGTATTGGCCAGTTCTGGATGTACGAAGTTCGACACGGTTAGGATGGGAGGTCAAAGTCAGGCAGATCTGTCTGGCAGGCACAACGCGCGGCGGCATCATGGAAGAGAGCTCTGAGGAGCAAAGCCCGTTGGTGTAGCGGTAAAAGAGAGCTAGATCGCCGGTGCGAAAGGGTCTTGAGACTGTCTGTTAGAGAAGAGTCATCGATCAGTCGGACAGCCCTCCTCTGGTCAGCATCGAGCATAAATGATGTAGTCCAGCACCCCAAACGTGTGAGCAATACTAGCAAGGCTAGGCCTTATCTGGGCCTTGTATAGGGTGAGAAGGTCATGCGGAGAAAAGTACTTCTTAGCCCTAAACTTTTTCCCAGCAGCCAGATCAGGTCCTCGGTGATCTGGACTCCGACCTGTCGAAATGAATGGCTCTTTGGCAGAACTCGGACATCCATCGAAACCGGATGAGCTTTAGGACGCTTTTTGTTCGTCAAGGTACAGTACTGTGTTTTGGAAGCATTAAACTGTACAAGATTGTTGCGTCCCCAAGCAGTGATAACCTCCAGGTCTCTCGTCAGAGAGTAAGTCGTCTCTAGCCTTCTTTTTTGCAGCTCAGCGGTAGAGGGGACGACTATGGTGGAGTTGGCAGCAAAGATCTTGGCAAGCACTTCCGCCTTGGCCTTTGAGTCTGATACAATCGTTCCATCCTGAAACGTAAGTGGTGGAAGGCTACTGTGTGAAACGTTCTTTTCAATCTGCTTGGCCAGCGTCCAGAAATACCGACTGCCATTGCGCTGTGACATTACCCTGTGCCTAACTCTTATATTGTGCTGGTTTTTGGCATTGCGAACTGCTTCGTTATATTTGTTTTTCAACTCGACGTCGGGTTGTGTGTTCTCTACAGTGGAGTTTTGTAAGAAGGTTCTGTGTGCGTTGATTTTCTGCTGGCGAGCAGTGTCACACGATTTGTTAAACCAGCCGTTGGACCCTGGTTTAGGCACTTTCACTGTATGAGGGATGTATTTCCTCCATTCCGACGTGGATAATTTCGGTTATCGAAGAACAGACAGCCAACGCATCCGCGTCAGTGAAGCAGTCACTTCTCCAAGGAAAGGTATAGAAGAAGTCTCTGAGCCTCTCCCAGTCGGCATGTCCGTAATGCCAAATTTTGCGGCCTGTGCGAGTTTCTGCTGCCACAGCGGGTTCTGACCGAAACCTAACCTCCAGAACACAGTGGTCTGAGTTACCCATGGGGGACAGGACAGCAGTGCTGTAAGGGACAGGATGCGTAGTCACAAAGAGATCCAACAGGCTACCGGCATGTGACGAGACGTCACCAGCTGGGTTAGCCCTTGAGTAAGAGCGAACGCTTCAACTGCACGACCTGCTGCATCGGTCTTGTTTGAGCCCCACCAAAGCAAATTATGGTCATTGAAATCACCGAGGAGAACTACCTCTGAAGCGGGGTGATTGATGTTCAGGAAGTCCATCTTGACGGCGAGGTATTCAAGAAGGTCATCCCAGTTATGGTCCGAGGGAGAGCGATAAAGGCAGCAAATAAATTTGGGGGATGCTTTGGACTTGAGGCGAAGCCACAGAATGTCCTTCCGGTCTGATTCCAGAGAAACATCTCTGCAACAGGAAAGACTACTGCTGACAAAGACCATGACTTCACCGTTCTTTCTCAGATTGGAGTGCACCTCGTAAATTAGGAAGCTAAGATGGTTAATCGGTGCGGACTCTGAGATTTTTGTCTCCGCCAAGAAAAGCATGGCGGGGCGATTGGATTGCAAGTAGTGATGAACATCAATGTTGCTGTAAATCCCGCAGATGTTCGTGAAACAAATTTTATCTTCGATGTTGTTCCCTCGAGTCCACCCTCCACCCGGACATTCCGAGAGTGGAGTGAGTTTACGTCCAGAATTCTTAATACTCAAGGATCCAGCATTATTAATTTCTTTGTTCTGGAAGATAATCGACTGCAGAGCCAGGTATGGAAAAATGCGGACATTTATAAGACACCATGGGACATATTATACATTTTTGGAATCAGAATTGAACACTATTCATCTGTACAAAAATCCAACAAGGCGTATATAAGAAAAAATAAAGTTGACACTGGAGGACAAGAGATGAAACGTCATATTGAAATTCTAATTATTCCATCTTGTAGAGGAGAAAAAGTGACTACGTTAATGTGCAACTTATTTTGCACTTGGTGAGGGTCGAATTTGAATCACCCTGTATACATGGCGCTACTTACAGCCTATTTAGTGGCAAAAATTCTTTACTAGTACGATTTCATTATTTTCTATTGAATATTACGGTGTAGTGATGATTCTTAATTAAAAATATATTCTAGATTTATTTCGATTAAACAAACCCTTTTCATTCTACCACACAGTCAAATAGCTGGTTTCAAAGAATAGTTTTAGCTTCAAAAAGGAATAAAAAACAAAAGCGCAGGTGGATGAAGAAATGAGTACTCATGAAAATTTGTCAAATGAATTGAGAATTAGTGAACCAGCTGATTTTCAAAACTTTCTGCGACTAGATTGTACAGCCTTTGATGAACTTTTCAGAATAGTTATACCTGAAATTCAAAAAAGGGATACAATGATGCGAGACGCCATACCTCAGCGTTTATCAATACTATAATGTTGGTTCTATTATATTGTCCGTCCCCGTTTTTTAGACTCCCTTATACGGTTTACCTCCTTTCTGAAGTTAGTGCGTTATGGTATTGAATTTTTTAACTAATTGCAACTTATCAGCATCTGGATAGAATTCTCTACATTTACACAGAGCTGTTAAGAACCGATACATTCTAAGATAAACTTTTTCTTCTTCTTTTCCCTTTGCCGCCATCCTTTACCGCACTACAATGTGTGATAAGACAGAACTGAACCAGTATAGCACAATATTTACTAGATTCCACAATAAAAATCAAATTCGTTTTCATTGACTCAATATATTGCGCAATATTTGAATGTGATCTACAGAAATATTAGTGTGCGCTTTTTATATATTAATAAATATTTCAATTTGGTTTTGTTGCTTCCGTAGTTATGGACGCTGGGATACCATCAATGTCGTTGGTCGTATTTTACTAGAGAAGAGGTTTTAGGTGTCGTCAAAAATATGAATGAAGGAGGTTTTCCGTTAGACGCAATATGGCTAGATATTGACTACACCGACGGAAAGAAGTATTTCACTTGGTCTGATAAATTCACTGGTACCGATGGAAAAGGTGTAGAAACGATGCTTGAGACTCTAAAAGGCAAGAACAAAAAGCTAGTGACTATTATTGATCCTCACATAAAGGTAGATGAGAAATACCCCGTATATAAGGAAGGAAAAGATGGAAACTATTTCGTCAAGGAAAAAGATGGAAAAAAGGATTTCGTAGGTACGTGAGTATTACTAATTTTTTCAAAAGAGAGTTTTTTCAACTTAATCGATTTCGTGTCATAAACTACTATCTTACATGCAATACTATTAACAAACAAATGACGTTTTGTCAATCTGTAGAAACTTTAGATTCGACGAAATAGTAATTTTTTGCAGAGCCTAACCAAAATAAGTATTTTTTCAATTGGTCGTCACCTCCAGAGGGAGAGAGTTAGTCATGTCATTATTGTTGTCAATAAAATTAACCTCACCTCTTAACCCGTAAATTATTGGTTAATTCAGAGTGCATGATTCAGAATATGAGAGATATAATTATTATTATAATACTGTACCAGAAGTAGATACCAACAAGCTTATTTGGAATGGGATGCCCTGTAAAGTGATACGTATTTTGACTTTCGCAGAATCTGAATATATTTCAGTACTGAAAGTATAACAGGTTTGGAGATTTTTTGTAAAAGATCACAAAGGCGGCCGATAAATATACTAAGTGACATATAAATCCGAACACCCAGTTTAAATGGTTTTATTTTGATAAAAGTTGGTGAATGTATTTATCTTACTGTAAATAACAAGTGAAAAAATTTTCTGCCTTATCAGTTGGACATTCCGGTTTTTATACTGCTTTTTTTAATTCACTAACGCTCTAAAAATGAATATTTCAGCCGCAGTAAAGAATCAACGTTGGCGGATTTTGGTTCTTGACATCCTTTACGATCGGTTACGATGCCTAGAGTACGGAGACCTGTACGATTTCGTCAACTTAGTGAGTTTGATAGGGGCCATATAGTGGAACTTCGGGAAGCTGGACTTTCTTTTCGGGCAATTGCAGTTAGAGTGCAAAGAAGTGTAGACACTGTGGTTAGGTGTTGTCAGGAATGGCTTCGAGAAGGCCGTACGCAAAGAGCAAGGGGCACTGGACGCCGCCGTAGAACAACAGACCGTGAAGATCGCCGCCTAAGATTATTGGCCTTAAGGGACCGTTTCTGCACTACCAGGTCTATTGCAAATGAATGGTTTGCAGAACACGGAAGACCTATTGGCATGCGAAGTGTTTACCGACGAATGAGAAGTTTTGGCTTGTTTTCATACCGGCCACACTGGGTCCTCCCTTTAACTCGAGAACACCGACGTAATCGCCTTGAGTGGTGCAGACAACGGTCACTCTGGGATCAGGAATGGAACAGTATTGTCTTTAGTGACGAGTCTCGATTTTGTTTAGGCATGCACGATGGTCGTGCCAGGGTTAGAAGGCGACGTGGTGAAAGGAGGAATCCACAGTTTCTTGTTGAAGGACATGTTCATCACACTGTTGGAGTTATGGTTTGGGGTGCTATAGCTTATGGTTCCAGGTCACCTTTAATCTTCATCAGAGGTAACATGAACGCGCAGCGTTATATCCACGAAGTTCTAGAACCTCATCTTTTACCCTATCTTGACACCCTGGCAGATCCAACTTTCCAACAAGATAATGCCCGACCACATGTTGCAAGAGTCACAATAGACTTCTTTCAACATAATGATGTCACATTGTTACCATGGCCACCAAGATCTCCCGACTTATCCCCAATTGAGCACGTGTGGGATATGATGGGTAGGAGATTGCTCAATTTGCAACGTCCTCCTCAGACTCTAGAAGCACTTCGAGAGGAGTTGGTGGTTGCCTGGAATGAGATACCACAGGAGGACATTGACCACCTGATCAGAAGCATGCCTAGGCGCGTTGGAGAATGCGTAGCACATCAGGGTGCATCCACACATTATTAAAGGTCAAAGGGCTTTAAAGCAGTGCAATCATTTTGAAATTTTTATCATCTACTTATTATGCTTCATTAAGTACTTATACAAAATTTTATTAAAATAAAACCATTTAAACTGGGTGTTCGGATTTATATGTCACTTAATATACTTCTTAATCCGATTTTTAGATGACTAATCTTGGAAGATGACCTAAAATAGAGAATTAAAATGCTATTTCAAGAAATCCAAATAGTCAATTTTATTTATCAGAAACAACTTGTTTTTACATATAGTTAGATAGGTAGTTTATTGTCCTTGTATATATGTTACATAATATAACACTTGTCAATGTAAAACTAGAAGTCATATATGCGTTTGAGCAAATACAACAAGAAATATGTATAAATATAAAGTAACAAACAAGTTAAAGCACATATAGGACTGTACCTGTACCTGAAAATATATAGGTACATGCCTTATCACAAGAAATATTCGTGGATAGACATTATTGAAGTATGTATATACAAAAAGAGTAGGAAATATGTTTACTTGGATTAAAACTTGAATAAAAATTGAAATTAAAATAGATGCACTACACGATAACAGGCACGTCAGCGATAACAAGATGATTAACAGCTTAAGAGAAATGCAAATCATAGCCTTTCATATAAAAAAAAACTCATATACACAGTAAACGCCTTTTTTGACCAGATATTTCCTGATATGTTTTTACAAGGATATTACTGCCTTTTTTGGAATAGAGCAGAGTTATGTGTCGGTATACTCAGATCATGCCCTGTTCTAGTATTATATTGACTATTTATTGCGTTGCTCTGATCAAATTTATTACTGTATTCAAATGCAAAGATGGCGCATTTGTAGATATACAGACTAAAAAGGTCTGAAGGTTTCTTTACAAGAGTCTCTCTTATTAACATCAAAAATAAATTAATTAAAGTATTTTTTTTCTGCGGAATGAATAATCTCTTAATCATTTTGCATATCCCCATATGATTATATTGTTAGCGAGGTGAGGTATAGCTCCTTTGTATTCAGCATTGAAAGAAAGAGTTAATACTATCACACCATAGTGCTTTCCGATATTTTCATTTTCCTACTGCACAACTGTTCACACAGTTTTCAGTCAGTTGATCAGTTCATCTTAGTTGGCCAAGGTACAGCGGCAGCGGAAAACCCTCAGTAGTGGAGCATTTATATAATAAAAAAAATATTATTTTTAAATATACTAACATACAAAAAAGAACATCCAGTAACAATGACCTTATTACAACAATTTTTTGTATACAGGTCTCTTAGTGCTAGGTAGGCAATTGATCAAATTTTCAGAAAAATCCAACCGATGAAAAAGTGCAAGAAACACGTCTAGATATACTCTTGCTCGGACGATCCATTTCCTCAGGATGTATCTTATCCCAGGCTACTTATACTCAAGCCAAAAGCTTAAGGCAGCGATCTTGTGTAGGGCCGTACTTCTGACACGCCCTGTACATTTAACTCTTCGTGTACGGCCTTCCTCATTCCATGTCCGACAACAAACCAATACCATATTTAGAATTATGTGAGTCCTGGGAGCCATTTCTCTGAAAGACCAACCAGCCTCATACAAGCCCACTATTGCCACTGCCAAACTCGCTGAGTTGTTGAAAATTTAGATATACAGAACGGCTCTTCACAGCGTATTGTACAATGATCAAAAGCCAATCGTGGCTACAAACCATACCTATCGCTTACTTACTTTTCTGTAAGAACAGACGGTATCACAAAAAAACACTTAGTCTATATGGTTGAAAAGGTGATCGTTTTTTGTCCTAACCTAAACAAACGTAAACTAAAAAATTCTAATTTTCACATGAAAATTATGTTTGGGGTTATTTAAAACTTCATTCTTTATTTTTGATCAGAATGCATTGTTGATTATCTAAAAAACGAAAAAAGCCCACTAAAGCAGGTCTCCTTCCACAATGAAATCGACTCAAATCATACGGCAGAGGCACACATATAAGAAAAGTTAATAACATCGGCTTGCGTTTGTTATGTTTTACATTTAATATATTTTAAAAATCACGCTAACGTGTAATGTTTTTAAAACCACACGTGAAATCTAAAAATGTATTGATATACAAGGTATCCCACTTAAAATAATCAAGTTATTACCTATTTTGGTACCACTAAGATGATAACATTATATAAATATTATGTAATACCATCATTGACTTTCATTATGTTGCAGGTGAATGTTGGCCTGGCAATTCCAGCTATGTAGATTTTTTGAATCCAGCTGCAAGAACATACTACGCGAATCATTATTCTGACCGAGAATTTCATCAAGGGTATCCTGAAGTTTTGGCGGGCATATGGAACGACATGAATGAACCATCTGTATTTGATCCCCATCATGAGTGGACAATGCCTTTCGATAACAAACACAAATCAACAAATGATGGAGAAGCTGAGATTGAACATAGAGATATCCATAACATCTACGGTTTTTTGCATGTAAGCTATCACGTAATTAGAAAACTCCAGATACTGCACTCTTGTGTACTTTTTAGAACCATCCGTGGCAACGCCATCTGAAGAAAGCAATCCCAAGTAGGCCACCATAAGCGATAATTTCTTTACACCTGACAAGTTCCCTTATAGTCGCGCCTTCTATTGTTAGTACGATGTATTATTATAACACCAGCTTTTCATGCTCTTATTACTTCTGCATTTTGAACAGAGGTGTCTAACCGTTATTTTGAAATCATTAAGCTAATGGAAATGTTTTAGTAGCTCTTGATTTTGGAATCAGGAAAGCGGCAAAAATTTCTGCTCAAAACTAAAGAAAATGTTACTTGGCACACGTGAAAAATGCTAGATTTGGATTGAAATTTAAATATCTGCTATTAAATTGTACACATTTGCTATCGATTTCAAGTTATATGTGCTTGCATTTATAATTATTCATCTTCAGTATCTTCTTTTTAAAATTGCTGTTTGAATAAGAACATCCAACGCTCTCTTCCAGTATCTGATGTTATTGCTGTCGCTTCCAACCACAGGCGTTCGTGATGGCCACTTTTCGGGCCCGGTCTGACTCTTGTGTTAGCTATTGACCGTACCCATACCAAGCCCATAAATTCATAAACAAGTCTTGACTATACCCCAAGCAAAACACAACATGCTCAAAAGCGAGATTGTACAGGTCCGTATTTTCCTTAATGGTTTTGGAATAATCTAACAAAATAAATGATTATTTTTATAGAAAGAAGAGCACATACTTTCAACAATTCTTCATTCGCTGGAAGTACTTGGATCATCGTCCGAATGGTTAATATTAATTTTATTACAGGTTCAATTTGAATATCGATCATATTGTGCAGATCCCACATCTTTGTTTCGATTGTCTCTTGAACGTGACGGATTCAATCTTGCCAATGGGTTGCCGTCACTCCGTTGAAAACTTCATAAAACAAATTTTTCATTGTTTTTTATATTACCCAAATCATTCAATGGGATTTAATTCGCAGAGATAAGGGGGTAGCTTATTTTGGTTTTTAGCCATTTCGTCAATAACATTAAAAATGTTGCCTGTCTTGTGAACATTGTGGGAAATTCTTTCTAGTTTTCTAGTGTGGTATGCAGCATTATCAAGTACAATGACGGCATTGTCGTTAAGCTTTGGGAGCGTTTCTTCAAACCATCATTCGAATAAACTCTCGTCCATTTCTTCATTGTAATCCGTCATTTTCTTTGACTCAAATGCTCATAGGGCAGTGGGCACAGAGCCATATTTACTGCCAATGTGACAGATAACAAATCGTTTTCCTTTTCCTGGAAATAATTATTTCATATAGTATATACGAAAACGTTTTGATCATATTATTCTTATTATTTATAACTTGTTATTTTCAAGAAAACTACTAAGAATACAAGCAGAGTATCTAACAGTGTTGGTTCCAAATCTACCAGATATAGCTTAGTCTAGTGTAGCTACGTTTTCAGCGTGGGCTCATAGATTCAGTCTAATTGACACCATTTTTACAACAAAAATGACGAATTGGTTATATACACGTACCTGAAGGATTCTTTAGACCAGTGGTTAGTCCATCTAAGAACGCTTGTTTTGCTGATTTAATTGTAAAGTCGGCCCATACTTTAGGTTTTGTATGTCCTGCATTTATCCAGGTTTCATCCAAGTAATAAATCTTCCAGTCCTGGTCGCGGTATTTGATTTTAAATAATTTCTTCTCCATAAAATAATCTCTTGGCTGTCCGTCAAAATACTATTTCTACCCCGTTTTCTATACTCAAAATGAAGTTCTTTGAGTAAACGCTAGAATGTGGTCCTTTTGAAAGTAGGTAAGTCTTCGTCACTATTAACCTCCTGTAATACTTTCGTATCCAACAGCTTCGTGTAATGCAGCCTCTTGTGTGGTGGAGACAATTTTTTATATATAATACTGTTTCTGTTTTTGAAATCAACATTACGAGTAGTCCTGGTATTTTTTGACATGTTTTACTGTTTAATGATTAACAATAATGCCCATGACACTGTACACAATGATGCCACTATGAATTTTTAGTATAACCAGGATGGATAGCTTTCTTCAGATGTCGCTCGAAGCAGGGTACAGAGTCACACATTCTAATTGCGCTTGCCCTTAAGCAATACATATACATAATAGCATGTTTCGCCAATGAGCGCTGACCCGAGAAACCGCCGTTATTTAAAACAGCGCCCTTGGAGGTAACTTTTCTCTTGCTAGATCAGTAATGACAACAAAAAACCTAGGTAAATAATGAATTTAAAATTGTCTTGTATACATTAGTGTCTTTCAGAGCCAACAAATTCAAACTAGGTAGAAGGAGCCAGTCAAGGATTTGTTTGTCTCCCAATTCTCATAGTATGTAGTGAGGATCAAGGTGCACTTGACAAAAGTCAATTTGTTGACAGTTCTGTTAATAAATTCCTATTTTTAGTGTATTTTTTAAACAATCCGAGCGTTTGCAGATTAAAGGATAATTGACACTTCCTTTAGTAGGTCTTCAATCGTTAATATTCCCTCTATTAAACAAAAAAATAATACTATACTTTTTTCAGACTTGAAAGACCATGAAACTTTAATTTAAAAACATATTTTAATTAGACAGGTGAATAAGCTGTTCCCCATACTGATCTGTTCTGGCGTCATACCATTTGTAAACAGCAGCTCTCAGCAGCATAACCTTTCAAAACTCTAAAGCAAATAAACATGACTTCTACTAGCTAACATGAAAAATATAGTAATTATCTTTATTGTTTCCTGCGAGACACATCGCTTAAGACCCCTGGAAAGCTATGGATTACAGTGCTCGGGGAAATAAGTATACGCAACACTTGTGCATTGCTTGGAGCATACCTTATGTTCGGGACATATTTTACATTTTACTGTGCATATTTTATAGTCTCATTCAAGTTGGACGTAACCTACGCCATCATCACCGTATGACGCATGAGCTCAGTTTTAAATGACTTCTGGAAAGTAATATTATGTAAGTGTATTACTTATTCTTTATTTTTATGTCTGCACTGTTCTTACATAGAAGTATTGATATTACTCAGCCAAGTAGAGCAGAAAACTGAAGCAAATTTGTGCTTTCTGCTTTTACGAATTCAACGACATGATTTTTTTCAATAAAATTCAATAAAACGAAAAAACGATAACTTTTTGCGTTGATTAGGAGTTTTTTAGAAATACATAAAGAAGACAACTTTAGTCCACGAGTGAAATACGGATGACGTTTCTTTGTTTGTCATTTGTATGTCGTCCCATCATGGCCGATAGTGATTTCATCGTTTCGTATTAAAAATTAGAAATATACTTTTTTAAATTGGAGCTATATGTATATGCATCTTCCGCTTTTAAAAATTGAAATCGATGTATTTCGTTTTCTTGAGGCAAATACTGTATAAGATACTCATTTATTCTGTGAAGTGGCCTATCCACATGTTAGACGATTTTGCATTGCAAAGAGTGGCACAAGGCTAATGAAGGTAGATGTTTTCACCAGTAAGTATTTTTATTATGTTGGTACAACGCTGTCACTTTGGTAGGCATTGGTAGACAAATGAATCAAAGGTATACACTAACTACATAATTTTGGCTATGTAAACATATAGGCTTAACTCCTTCTATTCTATTCGAGTTAGTTGGTCAGAGCGGTTCGTAGGGCCTTTGCTCTTAGTGAAAGTATTATAGTTCAGTATTTCTGTCAAGTCTAGTTGCCCGGATACCTGACACAGTCGGGTAGAAAGGATGTCAAGCTCGCTTGAAGGATCTCGTTGGGGACATACCATGGGGCATTTACGTATTACTGTTAGGTTAGAGTACAATTTATAACCCCTATCAAGCTAACCTTAGACTAGCACCATCTACATCAAGCTTCTCCGATGACCCCCCCTTCTATCCATACCTTGGTGGAGAAGGCTATTGTTGTGCCGTACTTTCATATTGGTCCCATTTACCACACACACACACTACTATAGCGATCACTTTGAGCACTTTTCAGAAATGATCTAACAGCTGAACGGCATTTTGATCCACCTCACTGGGCTTGTCAGTTCTCATCTTTCGGATCTCAAATTATAAAACGATTAGAAATGTTATAGGTGGAGATTTAAATGAATTTTTGCTTCGTGGCATGAAATTAACCTCTGGTAATTCATTGACTGAATAGATGTTGTTTTATACTCATAAGTTATATTTTTGTTCTTTCCTTCCATTCGCCCCTGTTTGATCATCAAATTTGAAATTTTGTATCATTTTCTGTATCAGCTTTATTTTAAAATATACACTGTTTTAAAGCCGGGCATAACAAACACAAAACATTGAACCCCACAAAACAGTATTTGATGTATCACGTGATCAAGAGCGCAGAATATTTTGGTTATGATGGAAAAGATGGCGACAGCTCCGGTAGCGCTCAGAATGTCCATGTGCGCTCAGCAGAAAATAAAGTATTGCTACTGTAGCGCTACGTTGGAATGGATAGGACCATTATACAAATATAATTCTGTTTCGCTACAAAAGTCCTCGGCTAATAATGGCCTACTTCCTCACCAAGGTATGTAATGCAGTATTTTTCCTGGTGTGGCTGCTTTATGACTCAGCATTTGGCCTGAGTTAGTAGGTTAACGACGGTACTGGAAATTGCTTTGAATTGGAAATCATTGAAGATTAACTGTGATGAATCTCTTGACGTATAGACGATGTCCACTCACGAAGGACTGATGAAGAGGGACAATAATGCAACACGTCCCTTCATTTTGACCAGATCACACTTTGCTGGCTCTCAGAGATACGCTGCCATGTGGACCGGTGACAATACTCCAGATTGGGACCATCTAAAAAATAGCTATTCCGAATGTATGTTATCTAACTTAGTTGGACTCGTCTTCTGCGGTGCTGACATTCCTGGGTTTTTCAAAACAGTCCCCAAACCAACGGACCAATTCGTATACAGGGCATACCAGGTAAGTGAAATTGATTTTGTGTACTGGTCATTAATGGTTTCTGTAAAACAATGTAATTGGAAGAGTGTAAATAAAAATAGACGAGATGGTGGTTTGCACCATTTTGAGTTAAATGTGAGGGTTACTTAACTCGAAGGCCGGGTGACTCTAGGTTAAATTAGAGTAGCTTTGCGCCGTCAAGGGTTTATTAACCTAGCTTTGATAGCTTTGACAGCTTTCAAATATACGGATATTTCCCAGAATGAATACATTCATTGACAATGTTGTCAGAAAATCTAGTTCTGTGTTAAAAGGTTAATATTGTTTGAAATTGACCTCAATTTTGACATTAAGTACTCATGTTTTGTGTTCTATTATTCATTTCTATTATCGGTCTTATATTGAACTACGAGTATATTTGAAATTGTGTTTGGAATATTTGATTTTGAAAATATTTTCACTGTGTTTATCGACAGGTCTCATCATATGTCCGACAGAATTGTTTGTGAAGGTCCGAAGGTCTCTATTCCGAAATTATGGACCTAACCATTCACGAAGAATTCGACGAGAATGACCTGATTACTCTGGAATTGAGTTTGGTATACCCATTCGAACGACAAGAGTATTGTCAGACTTACATATTTCTGAAGAATACTCACCCTAAGCATTTTCTCTTCATTAGTGAAGTTTGTAGTATAAGATTTGATAGATGATTGAAAATATTTCCACAGCAAAAAATAATACTCCCAAAGCATTAAACCCTAAATGCAGAAAATAGAATGGCATGGTTCAAAGTGATGTAAAATCAAGTTGGATGTTATAACATTTCATCTTTTTCAGCGGGCCTAATTTCAGAGCTAATTATAACGGTGCTAAGACTATGAATGAATGATTCCTGAAATTAGAGGCATTCCGGCCACCATAAGGAGTCAATGCATAGGCCCCTTAAACGGGCCCTTATGCACCTCTACATTCCTTAGATCGCAAGCCTCGCCTTTTTAGTGAAGCTGAGTATGGCATTGATTCCAAGCTCCTTGACTTCCTGGGGATCCAAAATAGTGAACCCCAGTATAGTCTGCCTATAGTAGTTCAGAGCTTCTCAGCGACACAGAACGTACGTCGAGATCTCTTCCTCTACCCAGCAGCGCTCACACAAGAGATCCTCAGCCACCCCCATCAGTCCCACCAGCAATCTTAGGCTGGCTCTATCCAGAGATAAGCAGAAACGTCCATCCTTAGCACTGGACCCTTCAGCGAGTTCCCGTGCCTGGCGAAATATCTGGAGATATTTCTCCATTTCTGAGAGTGTTGTCTTGCAATCCGCGTCTCCATTTTTGTCCTAACTCTATGCGCGGGCACTGCTAAAGCAGGCTGACGGCGAACGAGCTTGCTGGCTGATACTTTCTTCGCCAGAGCGTCCGCAGTCTGATTGCCCTTTATCCCAGCGAGCCCCGGTACCCACATTAACGATACCGGATGCCTCGCTGCGAGGCAATTCAGAGCCTCCCTGCACTGCAATACAAGACTCGAAAAGTGGCAAGTCTAACTCGGAATATCTCCGATGCTCACTTAACCTGAACTTGTGCATACCACCGAGGGAGTTTTTCGTGCAACAAAAATAACGAATAGTTAAGCCTTTACTGGTACGTCATTTTTTACAGCGACATTAAATAAAGAATGTCGACCAAAAAGTCTATTTATGACCACTAAAGTGAACCACACGGCTATCATGTATCTTGAAAAGTGACGTTATATCGATTTTTTTGACATTATACTGTTTTTTTTTTTTTGACGTTATGTAGGTTTTTCTACAAGATATTAACTTAGCACTTAATTTTACGTGTTTCCCAAACGCCATGAGGCTTCAGTTATTAATGTTTGGCTCTGTTGTGATGTATCTACTTCAGATATGCCATTACTGGAGGTCTATGCTGTAAGTTGTATGTGTTGATGATATTTCCATTGGATTCTTGTCTCAAATACACTTAATTGGGATTCAAAACTAGGAATTAGTTGCGCAGCAACTTTTTCTTATCCATTTTGGAAATTACATATACAAATTTGCTGAATTTCAAAAATGAGCGAGATAAGAAATAATTATATTCACTGTACACTGTCGAATTACAAGCCATATACATGCTAACAGTTATTACACACAACGCGGGCGCGGAAATGATTTCCGATAATTCTCCTCAGTTTTTGAAAATTGTAACTTTGAACATAACCTGTCTTCAGAAAGCACAACATATAAATAACCCGTCGGGCACAGCCAATAGATATGCTTCATTGGCAGCATATTCAGTAATGATTTTCTCACACAGCAAATATCACTGATTTTATACACAAGCAGACCAATATAGATAATCATCCAGATGCGATCTTGCTATTCAACCAACTTTCATCTCAGAAATAAAAACTACAGACACGGACCACTCGGCCTCACAAAACATATGCAACCAATAATGCGTGTAGTTTAGTTGAGTGATTTCTCCATAAATGGACGTTCACAACGATCCTAGTGAGCAAACGTGGAATGCCTGTTTGCGCCCTAAATGCAAGATGACATATTTTTTGACGTTTTATAGGTTTTTTACATGATACCCGTGTGGGGGTAATTTAAAAGTACTGAAGTTGTTAATTTTTTTTCGATTATGACGTGAGGCTAGCCCCAATATTTTAAAACCTTGTTAAATTTTCTATACAAAAGGTATACAAAAGGTATACAAAAGGTAAATATTTGTGTCCAAACCGGGAAGCAACGAACAGGCTTAGAATCATAGAACCACAGAAGGATAAGCAACCAAAACAGAATAAAAAGAACTACAATAAAAAGATCCCTCTTTACATTGAATATACAATAAAAGTTAGGACAACTCAATTTATTTAGAACACTGCCTATTGCATTTATTTTTATCCTTGATCTCATACTCATACATTTTTATATTTTAACCACTATGTATTTGTAACTTGAAATTATTTTAATTAAGCGTATCCAGCTTTACAAATTCCGGAAACAGCGCAGAGTCAGAAAGGTATAATCTTGTGGAATAAGCCCTTACTTATTCTCCGTAACTAACGGAGCTTTTTCATCTCGATAATGGATAATGGCGGATTGTCTCGATACTGCGCAAAATCGAAATAAGGAAGATCATAACGAAATAGCAAAACAAAAGCACTAAAAGTCCCTAATGAATGCATAACTTAAAGCTGTGCTGCTAGGGAGCGAACAAACATTGTTCTTACAGAGAACCGGAATTAGCTGTAAAGGGAACCGGGACGTCTCGGTATTTTCGGGTCCAATCCAGTGTTGATAGGCTGCTGTGGAGTTATTTCAATTTCGTATCAAATTTTTAGTCTACATACTTAGTTTTATATAAAAACGATATTGCCTTTTTTATTATAAGAAACAGTATTCTTAGCCCTAAATCAGCCTTTAACAAACCGGTAAGCGCTGTCCCTCTGCCAAATATGCGATTCTATGCGAACGAGATGTGAAGTTCTAAACGTAAGTCAATTTCACTCTGTCATTGACAATTTTATTCATTCTTAGTTACATTAGGTCCGATAAAACCGTGTCAAGTTTTTTCCGGTCCCGTTTCTTCAGTCCGACATCAAGCCAAATCCCGGGACTGCCAAGATTGTGATTTTCCTAGGTGCTGCAGTGCCAGTGGTTTTATGCCTTGCTCCAGCTTCAATCTGGTTGTTGGATTTCATTAGGGGTGGATTCAGAGTGGATTTTTTTTTGGGGTGCAGAACAGGAAAATTGAAATGCTTGGATTTGTGATTATGTGGAAGGGAAGGGGGGGTGATACCGATTGAAAATTGAAGAAGGGCACTTGAAAAGCAAGGGGGTTTTCAGGGAATTTCCTGAGTATTTTTCTTTTTCCAGTGATCTTCTGAGAGGAACACTTTCCCAGTTCCTCTCTCAGTTCCCCGTGGATCCGCCACTGGGTTTGACAGTTTGTTGGGTGTGTGACAATCTGTCAAAGCATGTTTAATAGCTACTGCGATACACCATAAGAAATTTTGCAGCGTTCGCACCGTTTGCTCGTAACTATCAAATGCGTAGTCGCTTAGCGTTTTGACATGGACTCGCATGTTTTTTCTCAAAGTGAAACTTATGAAAGCAAAGCTTCAGCTATACTATAACTATCTAAAACCGTAATGACTCATCGATGTTCACGTGAACATCACTTAACTACCAGTAGTCGGCTGTTCATAGGCGGGGTATGAATGTTTAACATGGGTGAACTAGATTTGTCACATGCTTAATAAAGAGTGGTTTGAAACATATTGTAAGTCAAAAATTTGGGAATTACCTTTATTCATCGTCGCTTCCACTTACATCTGACAGTAATAAACTGTCGCTATCGCTTTCCTCGTTGAAATTGACTATAACTGCCTCTATGATGGTGTCGATGTGGTGGTCAAGCTGCCACATTTTTGTTTCTTCCTTCACAACATGACGGATAGCATTCTGCCAAGCTTCGGGCGTTACTAGCTGTATGGAAGTCTCAAGTAAAACCTTAACGTCTGGTAATTTGAAGGTTGTGTTATGGCGCGCAATATAACCCTTCACTTGAGCCCAGATGAGCTCTATTGGGTTCAGTTCACAGTGGTAGGGCGGTAACCGCAGCACAGTGACACCACATTGACGGGCCATCTCATCAGTCACGTAACTAATGTTCGCAGGTTTGTGCTGTTTAATTTTTTCGGGATTCCTTTTTCGCGCAACCATTGCTGCATGTCACTTTTTCGAGATCCCATAGTCGGTACACGTTCGGCTCGACGACTATGGTAGGAAGCATTATCCATGACGATCACAGAGTTGGGCTCAACTCGCTGAAGCACCCCTTGAAACCAGCTCTCGAAGCAGCTGGCATTCATTTCGTCATGGTAATCACCTCCTTTCTTAGAGACGAAAATCAAGTCACACTTTTCTAAAAAGCCACTATCGCTACCAATATGAGTTACGATCAATCTTTGACCTTTCCCTGACGGTCCACGAAGACCTGTTGACAAACCTTCAATGCTTGCTTGTCGGTTACTCACTACGTTTTTGTCTATCCAGGTTTTTTTAACTGTTTGACCTGCATTTACCCATGTCTCGTCCAAATAATAGATTTTTCTGCTTTGTCGCCTATATTCAATCATTTCGCGTAGGTATTTTCGATGCCAGGCGACTACTTCAGGTCTCTCTATCAATACTGACTTCCGATTACGCATTTCGTAATGAAAATTAATTTCGTGCAGGGATTTCCTCATTACCTCGACGCTCATTTGGGGTATAATTTCATTTTCCTTGATCGCTGCATGTACAGCCTTGAGGGTTGGTATCTCATTCCTAAAGAAGAGTGAATGTACGGTTCGCCTTAACGCCATTTGGCTATCGTCATCCAATTTAACGGCCTTTCGTCCCTTCAAATTAAACTTTGGATCAGTAGTAGCTACAGTTTTCTTCTTTTCATGCACCACCCTGCGAATGGTCCACTCTGGAACGCCTGTCATACTTTCACAACGCGCGAGTGCATCTCCCTGCGACATAGTTCTGTTCAGATAATTGAACACGTTGAGCACGATTTCTTTCGCGTCCCTCTTCAGTGCTTTACGAAGCCGTCTACTTGTTCCCTGGCTTTCAGTACTTCCACTCGTGCCATTTGTACTCTCCATGGTTAAGTATAACCAAAACAGTAACCACAGAAACCACAACAATAACAATCACACAACAATTCTTATAAAAACACACAATATGCGATCGCTCAACGAAACACGTTCCAATGCGTTGCCGACGCCTAAGAGTCTGCCGATCGAGGCGCGTCTTTGATTTCATTGGTTCTACCGGCGGAGAACAATCAGCCATTATTTCCATCTCTGTCTGTGCTGTTGACCACCGCAAAGCCAAAGAAACGACATATGTCGTACGCTATACGGCTGTACTGGAAGGAAGCCGGGATCGAGCTCTGATCACGTGTTGATCACGCGTATGAGTCATTACAGTTTTAAATAGTTGTAGTATAGTTATTTGTTATGTGCTTAAGCTGCAGGTAGTTATTTGTTGTGCATTTACTGGTGCTCAGTTTAGACTAGATTACAGAACAGACGACCAGACGACAAACAGATCGACGAAAATGAGTGATAGTTTTACTTCCTACGCTACTGGGCAAGGAAGTATTGTAATCGCGAAAAATTTCGAAAATGTTATATGATGTGAACATCACGAAAAACACCCATTTCCGTCAGTCTGTCCGTTTGTCCGCTATTATTTGGCCCATGTATAACTTGAGAGAATGAAATTTTCACACAAGGTTGATACTATGCTGAGAGTGAAAAAGCTTCACACATTTCGCAAAAGAGAGATGAAGATTGAAGTTTTCGGTCCAGTGGCAACGAAGAACAAAACCCAAAAAACAATAAATAGCTCGAACTTCGTTTTTTGACGTTTCAGAGGGCCTCGGATCATTTTCAGAAAATGGTTGGGGGTTGTAGGGGGTGAGGGATGGTATACATAATTTTTTTGATCTTTATATACTTATACGCTATCTACCACGTTAATACTATGCACCTATGACCATTAGAATACTTTCTAAAAAATTAAATGTAGGAAATCGAAAAAAGAAGGAACATAAAGGACAATGGAAAGAAAAATTACATTCATTTTGAAAATTCAAATAATTTGTCGGATATCTGCAAGTGCATCGATGATTATGTATGCACGGAGATCTTTTTCAAGCCACAGAGATGTATTATATTAATAATATATCAAAAAAGACTACAACTAAGGTATAAACCATATTTAGCCCTCAGTCTTAACGTATTTATTGATACAATATCACAAATTGATGATCCCAAGGATATATAACTTTTACGAAGAACCTCGGTTTTACAGGGGGCTAACTACTGACAGTCTTTTGAAACAAAAGATCTGCCTCCAGATTCCTTTTGATTTCCTCGGTAATTCTTGGATCGTTTTGGAAATCCTTGGACCTTCTTAGATCTTGGATCTTCTCGCATCTTCACCTGATAAAATCGCGAAAACTACTGAGGTGTTTCCTATTAAATATCCAATAATTCACAGGATGATTCCGTCGGCGTTTTCAAGACAAAAAGTTCAGGTAATGTTGGGTTCGCAAAGACTTTGTTTTCGAAATATAGGACGCTTTAAATTTCTACATCACTTATGAGATTGTATCAGGGTAAAGCATCAATATTCTTGGACTAGCCCTAGTATGAGTTTTCAATGTCGAGCTTTACTAACGTTAGGGTATTTTCAAGTAGAACGGGTTGACGTTTTGCATACGGATTTTACCTTAAATGTTCAAAACACTTTTTTCCATAAGGTCTGACATTTTTTTTCAAGAAAGGCAATTTATATAACATTGAATAGCTTATTCAAAAATACAATAGATGCTCCAAAAGAATCAGTGGCATAGAAAATAGTTTTCTTTTTTCCTCCATTAGAGTCAAAGTTTTCCAATTTATACGTCTACAGGCACTTTTTTGTATATAGGTTATGTTGTTGATATCATAAGTACAAAATGTGTGCAAAAGCGATTAGCAGCTGCAACAGCTGGACTGGGTTGCGCAGTGTGTAGTTTTGCTTAGAGAAGTCAATCTCCGCGCATATACCAATCTGTATATTTACTTCGTATGACATTGTTAAGAAACTACCAAAAACCATGAACAGACCTATATTGCGCCATATCCACAAATAGGTTAAGGTGCATAAATAAGCTTTAATTGTCATTAAGACCGTTGTAATTCTTCATTTGTATTTAACTCCACTACAGGCTGGCATATGGTTGCCGTTCTTCAGAGGTCATGCTAGTAACGATACAGAGTCTAGAGAACCTTACAGCTATGGCGGAAAACCACGAGATTTGATTCGAAATGCGATTAAAATGAGATACAGACATATTCCCACGTGGTACCAACTGTTCTATGAACATACTCAGACTGGAGCACCCGTGATCAGGCCACTTTTTTATGAGTTTCCGGGAGAAATCGAACACAACGACCATATTATGATAGGTAAGTATTTCCTTACCTAGATCTTATTCATGTCTTATAGATTACATAAATGGAAAATGCGTAATTCATCATCTATGGTTCTATTTTGAAGGATTTGATACATGTACATACAGTGGGTCAAGAAAGTATTGACACACCCTGTTTCTTCCTGAATCTTAATATCGAACAGAGGAATTTTTTGATACTAAACTTATTTGAAAACTAACATCCAACTAGCCATTTTTGATGGCAATAGATTGCGCAAATTGAAAATATATTAATAGGAATTATGAGATTCAAGGGTCAAAAAAAATTGGCACACTAAAGAAACAAACAAGTAAATCAGTGTTAACAACATTTATTTGCAGTTAGCGTTATTATTAGAGCATTTGCCGGAAGCCATGGTTTCTTGTTATTTCTGGTCCAATTTGTTCCCATTTCTGCATAAGAACATCTAATAGCTACTTGCTAAGGCTGAAGGACTGAAAAGATAAAATTTCTGTGCAACAACAGCTAGAAAATACTGTTCGTAGGTGGTGTTATGTAGCTGAATGCTCTTGTATAGTTTGCCACTCATTTCCGTCGGTCGGTCTGTCTGTTGGACTGAACCATGGAAGGTACCTCTCTGATTTTCATGAAATTTCCACACACGTTTACTACTGTGCCAAGGACGAAAACGCATGCAGTTTTTGAAAATCGGTGCAGGTGTGGCGGAGCTAGGGGCAAAAAACGGGGGGAGAAAATATCTCAATTTTTTAGTGCTAGTATACAGGGTGACTTCGAGGTTGAGTCATTTATTTTAAGAGTGAGTAGATCTGATCAAAAGAAATGTTTTTTCCTTTACCATTTTTCTGGTAAAATTAAAGTAACAAAGTTATAGCCCTTTGGAAGTTTGAGTACCGCCCTGTCTCAATAATAATATTATGTGCTCGTGTTTGGCAACAACGGATATAATCCGCCTTATCGGTTCATCGCATCGGAAACAAAAAAGCGAATGAATTTGGAACGATGTTTTTACAATTATTTTATTCAGTTGTATACAGTCGGTGTCAGTCGGTAACGCGTGAGTGAATAGTGGTGTCTGTTGCGTGGCTCAAACGAAATGAAAAATGGCACATGTTTACGAAAATGCTGAACTTGTGGACATGATTCTTATTTACGCGGCATCACCGATTTATGCGGATCGGTTTCCCAATCGAGTGCAACCAACCCCTCGTGCCTTTGTTAATGTAGTACGAAGGGCTCGTGAAGCAGGTGACTTAAGACCTCACAGGGGAGGGCATGCCGGTGCTCCAAGACCGCACGATCAAATACAGGTCCGCACTGAAATACTTGTCGGAAGGATACTTTATAAAACAAGGTAACATTTTTTTTTTATTTTTTTTTATTTTTACACACATATTTTGGTTTATCTTCCTTCTACAATCATTATCTGAAAATTAATGACTCAACTTCAAAGTCACATATTTATTTACGTATATACGTATTTACCACATACATTTGCCCTTAAAACTTGACGAATCCTAGAGAAATATCTTTAATTTACGCGTCCTACGCAACTGAACGAACGTATGTATATACACTGAAAACCAAATACGTTTGAATTATTGCCGCGTTGTCAATATGTTACACCAGTTCCTTGAATTAAGATGCATGTTGAAAGCATGCGTTAGTTTATTCTCTAAGCCCAAATAATGGTTTTACACATTCTTGAATTGTGAATTCTGTCGAATCTGTTTAGGATCAACTCCGGTCGAAATGAAAGGTCGGGGTCTCCACAAATTTTGCATCCTTGGTTCGCTTGGCAACATCTCATCTCGCACATTCCAAGGCAAGGTTTCCACCTCAATGATCACAGATGAGCGATTTTGGTTAGTACCCATCTAGCGCTCATTGGGGAGTGTCGTCCTGCTCCGAAATGGTTTTCGCCTGCGCACACGCAATTGTAACAATCACTCAGGATGTGTTGATTTTATCACCATCCGTGGAAATCAAAGGCAATTCTTAAATAAATTGAAACACTAAATCGCATCATAATTGAAATAAATAATTCTAATCAAAATGAAATGAAAAGGTTAAATTAGATGTTCGAACAGACCTCCTTCTTGAGTTTCACAGTAAACTGACCTATTATAAAAACCTGTGCAAACTTTTTCTGGTGTAGCATATTAGCACCGTATGTAGTGATGACCTTCGCTCGTCAACCGGCTTCTATCTCTTGTATCACCACATGTTAGAAAGTGCGCATCAACACACTTCTCGCGTTTCTCTCTCGTACACGTTGAACCCACGCCGTCAGACAAATTTAGATATCCCTGTATACCTGTTTCGAGGGCTTCCGATATTTGACCGATGGATGGGAGGGTGTGCTTGGTAGGAGAGTGCAGAGGTTAGTTACAGCAACGTTGCCAGATGATCGCTAATGTGTGCGTTCTATGAACTAATTGTATGTGCCCATTTGACTGACTTGATCCATTCAGTTTTTACGAAAGGTACTAATTTTTTTCTCAGAGGGGCTAATTAACTTCTGTCGATCATAATCTATCATGAGTTGATTACACCATTCCGTGGAAAGTACAGAGTCAAACTTCTGACTCCATTTTTTGACTTAATTTCAAATTGTTTATTTTCCTGTAGATGTCATATATACGGAACTAGGAACAAAATAATAGTAAAACAGCAGTAAAACAAGACATGACAATAAAACAAACATTAAATGCCTACATAAGTGACTATTTCTGGTATATAACATACAAAGAAGTCAATGTCAGTAGTCCAACATTTTTAAGCAGCTCTCTACTCGAGTGGTAGTTGCGCACATTTGCTAAACTTTTTACAATCTTTTTTGAGAAGAACTCATCATTTGCGTGGGATGAGCTTCCCCACAAGGAAACGCCATAACGAAGTCTAGACTCAACGCGCCCATAATATATTTTCAATAAATCAGGACCGCTTAAAACAATTCTCATATTTCTAAAAATATATACATGTGAGGATAATGATTTACATAGTTGCACACAGTGGCTTCTCCAGCTCAGACACTCGCCAATATAAAGACTGCAAGGAATTTGTATCTGTTTGCCTCCTTAATACTAAAGGATTGGCATTTATACTAAAATATCTATCGATGGTAATTGTGAAATCTGAGCACCTAAGCTTTCTCGGTGTTAAGAAACAGATCAGGTGAGCTTAAAAAGTTATTCAGTTTTGTCTAGGACTCTAGTCTTAGAGGACGACATCCTCTTTCGATGAAGTAAGCAAAGGTATGCCATCCGCGTTATACATATAGGCTGAATGTTTAATGGCGGACAAAACATCAGCGATCTGATTCACATATGTATACTAAGTGACATATAAATCCAAACACCCAGTTTAAATGGTTTTATTTTAATAAAATTTTGTATAAGTACTTAATGAAGCATAATAAATAAATGATAAAAATTTCAAAATGACTGCACTGCTTTAAAGCCCTTTGACCTTTAATAATGTGTGGATGCACCCTGATGTGCTACGCATTCTCCAACGCGCCTAGGCATGCTTCTGATCAGGTGGTCAATGTCCTCCTGTGGTATCTCATCCCAGGCAACCACCAACTCCTCTCGAAGTGCTTCTAGAGTCTGAGGAGGACGTTGCAAATTGAGCAATCTCCTACCCATCATATCCCACACGTGCTCAATTGGGGAGAGTTGGTGGCCATGGTAACAATGTGACATCATTATGTTGAAAGAAGCCTATTGTGACTCTTGCAACATGTGGTCGGGCATTATCTTGTTGGAAAGTTGGATCTGCCAGGGTGTCAAGATAGGGTAAAAGATGGGCTTCTACAACTTCGTGGATATAACGCTGCGCGTTCATGTTACCTCTGATGAAGATTAAAGGTGACCTGGGACCGTAAGCTATAGCACCCCAAACCATAACTCCAACAGTGTGATGAACATGTCTTTCAACAAAAAACTGTGGATTCCTCCTTTCACCACGTCGCCTTCTAACCCTGGCACGACCATCGTGCATGCCTAAAAAAAATCGAGACTCGTCACTAAAGACAATACTGTTCCATTCCTGATCCCAGAGTGACCGTTGTCTGCACCACTCAATGCGATTACGTCGGTGTTCGCGAGTTAAAGGGAGGACCCAGTGTGGCCGGTATGAAAACAAGCCAAAACTCATTCGTCGGTAAACACTTCGCATGCCAATAGGTCTTCCGTGTTCTGCAAACCATTCATTTGCAATGGTTCTGGTAGTGGAGAAACGGTCCCTTAAGGCCACTAATCTTAGGCGGCGATCTTCACGGTCTGTTGTTCTACGGCGGCGTCCAGTGCCCCTTGCTCTTTGCGTACGGCCTTCTCGAAGCCATGCCTGACAACACCTAACCACAGTGTCTACACTTCTTTGCACTCTAACTGCAATTGCCCGAAAAGAAAGTCCAGCTTCCCGAAGTTCCACTATACGGCCCCTATCAAACTCACTAAGTTGACCAAATCGTACAGGTCTCCGTACTCTAGGCATCGTAACCGATCGTAAAGGATGCCAAGAACCAAAATCCGCCAACGTTGATTCTTTACTGCGGCTGAAATATTTTTAGAGCGTTAGTGAATTAAAAAAAAGCAGTATAAAAACCGGAATGTTCAACTGATAAGGCTGAAAATTTTTTCACTTGTTATTTACAGTAAGATAAATACATTCACCAACTTTTATTAAAATAAAACCATTTAAACTGGGTGTTCGGATTTATATGTCACTTAGTATATATGAGAAAGAGAATCGCTCCTAGTAGCCTAGTGGTTTACTCTTTTGAATTGGCATGACTTCAGCGTTTATATTGGAGCACTTACCATCGTTATCAAAATTGATACATACTTGTACTTCTGATTCTCACGGAAAGAGGCTATCCATTTTTGGGCAACGATAATATTCTAATGTATTGGGCAATATCTCGTGACTTGCTTGATATATTGCCGGTTGCATGTAAAATTTTTCAGTATGTTAAATTCTGTGGCGTTTCTCACTGGAGATTGGACTTTAATCATTTTCCATTTTAGGAAGAGGTATATTAGCAAGACCTGTGTTCGATGAGGACGTCAAAGAAGTAACGGTGCACTTACCAGGAAAAGATGAGAAATGGTACAGAATCGATGGAAATAGTGTTCAGGCTTATAATGGAGATCAAGAAGTCACGATTAATGTGGAAAAGGGCGAGGTAAGGCAAATTCCTTTCTCTAGGTCAACTCAATAGGTCCACCCATTAAAGCCACATCTGACAAGGAGGAGAAATTTACTGGCGTATTGACTGTCTCACCTTTAAAATACATGAACTACATATTGAAATAGTTCTCATTCTGATGAGGGCAAGGTCTAAGGGCGATATCGTCAGTTGTTCCTACAGTTGTAGGACGCCTTTATGGCTTCCTTGATTTTTATAGTTTTTCATATCCTTCAGAAAGGCAGGGGTCAGTCCCAGCGCTTTATTTTGAGCATATATTTAATTTTTGGATTTCAAGAAATAATTTCAGGCTGATAAAACTTGATTTTTATCATCTGTTTTATCAGCCTGACATTTCTTAACTCCAGCCTTTCTGAAGGAGATAAAAGACTATGAAAATCAAGGAGGAGATAAAAGTGTCCTACAATCTTGTAGGAACGACTGACGATACGACTCTAAATGTCAGAGGAGTGCGTAGAAGTTAATTAATACTGACCTAAGAACTCAGTGGCTGGATGTAGGCAAGGAACAGAATTTATCTTAGTACCTTGCATGAAAACGACGGCAAAACTGCTACCAACTAATCCAGGCAAACTCTGCCGTTTACCGTAATGAATTTCGGTTATGCAACGGGCCTGCTGTGTTGGAGAGGCTGCGTTGTATGTGGGTCTACTAATCAGTCGTGGTACCACGCGCTGTACCACTTCATGCTTTTTATGAAAGAGCTGATGTGATCATAGTTCCTTAAGTTGCGGATCAAAAATAATTTTGAATTTTTTAAAGACATGCAAGGTATCTTGAAATGGAAGTGACTTTGACATACTAGTCATTCACATATTTTCTTTTTAGTTTCGTAGTTAAGAGATTACTTATTGAGGTATAACTGTCGTAGAATGGAAAACCAACTCTTACTCACATTGTTCACGGTGGTATTAACTTACCTGAATAGAACCATTTAGGCTCATAAAAATTATTTTTGATATCGCTTCTGAAAAGTTACAGTGAAAATATGATGATTGTTCGTTTTGAGGGGTTTAACTGAGGGTTATGACTCTTTGCGCACTCACTGATATATTTAAGATTAAGGTCCCAATTGACCTTCGCTTCGGCTGTTTGATTATTGCATCTACGAAAATAATTCTAAATTTGAGAATGATCGGCAAATAACTAAGGCCCGTATCGTCAGTCATCCGTACAATTGTAGGGCGCCTTTATGGCCTCCTTGATTGTCATAACATAGTTTCTACTTCTCCGTGTCAGAACTCTATTTTGAGGTTATGTCACAAACATCTATTTGCATCAAGTTGTGCTTGCTTTTGAGTTATATCATGTTTTATCAGCCTGAAATTTCCTACAATTTAAAAAGAAAACATATCTTCACAATAGGAGAGCACTGACGCTGACACGGGACAAGTGTAATCTAGAAATTTTTGAAGGAGAGAAAAGAGTATGACAATCAAGGAGGCCATAAACGCGCCCTACAATTGTAGGGACGACTGAAGATACGGGCTTTAGGCCCTAGGCTTAGGAAATTTCAGGCTGATAAAACATGATACAACTCAAAAGCAAGCACAATTTGATGCAAATAGATGTTTGTGACATAACCTCAAAATAGAGCGCTGACACGGAGAAGTAGAAAACTGTGACAATCAAGGAGGCCATAAAGTCGCCCTAGAATTGTAGGGACGACTGACGATACGGGCCTAAATTACCTTTCTTGTAAATTTTTTCTCAGACTAATCTCTTTCGAGAAAAATAGATATGAATATTTTAGATGTAATCCATATAAAAACCTCCAACCGTTCTACTTTGAAAATAAGCTGAAGTTCAACTGTCGTAAAGAAAGATAGCAGCAGAACACATCGCTCTCCACTGGCTACCGCGGAATCTTGAATACGACGGGATGCTCACGCTCCGACTTTATCAGTTCAAAGGGACACCGCGCCTGCGTCCGATGTGTTTTGCTGCTCTTTCCTTATTCGGTACCAGGAAATAGTGGAGTTTAACATTGAACATTGTTTGTAGTCCAATAAGTACCATGACAAACTTAAGGAGCAGTAGGCTTTGGCCTGACCTCCCAAATAACAAAAACTTACCTATATAAAAGTGTCACGGTACATTTTTGTTTCACCACAGATGGTCAAAGTTGAGAAAAAAATATCAGAAGGTTATAAATCCCAGAATACTCGTAGTCCTTATTTGATCATGATTCCTTAATATCTTTTAACTACATTGCATTTGTTTATGATAAAGCAACTATCTAGAAGTATTTTATAGAAAAAATGAACAAAGTATAACCTTATTTGTACATGCAGCTAAAGACCACAGATGAAAAGGTTCGTTTTTTTTTAAATTTAAGAAAAAATTCAATATCTCAAAAGCGGTCACACTTTTGTATATTTAAGTTTTTTTTATTTGGGAGGTCAGTCCAAAGCCAACCCTCTCCTTAAGTTTGTCGTAGTACTTATTTCATCATAGCGTTATTTGAACGCTACATGTTTTGTCATTACTCAGACTCGTCAGTAGCGTAGAATAGAAATAATTCTATTCTAACTCTGATTTTAAACCTATCCATTTCTTGACCGGTTTCAGAATCATAATACGGATATTACCGAAAGTTGTCATGATTGTCAGTAGTCCGTACGAAAACGTTACCACGGTTCATTTTATATGTGGTCATAAAAACTCTTTTTTTCCAACCACCGTTATTTGCTATCGCTGTCAAAAATAACTTAACTTTCGGCTTTACGATTCGTTATTTTTATTGCATCAAAGGATCTCTATTAATACAAATATATGACATTCAATTTCATTCGATCTTTTTTTTTTGAGTTTATACACAATGGTCCAAGGATCAGAAATATAAATTAGTAACCAATCCTTCTTGTTTCTTGCAGTCCCCAGCATTTTACAGAGGCGGCAGCATCATAGTAACAAGAGATCGAGACGTCATGTCCACAGAAGACGGTAAACGTCTTCCAGTGACGGTTTATGTCAATCTGAATAAGGTGAGCTATAGTTTTTCTACTACTAGCTGAAACCGTACAAGAACCTAAGCTTATGTTACATGCAGGGAAACTCTTTTATTGGGCCAATACAAAATACTTTTCGTTAAAGAGGTACAGTGTGTCAAAGCTTATTTCTAGGAACCGTAATTTTATTTTAGGACTTGAAAGCAACTGGCAAACTTTATAACGACGATGGAGTCAGCTTTGAATACAAAAACAACAAAAAGCTGTATGTCAAATTATCATTTACCGAAGAGCACATGCTGCAAGTAGAGTGAGTATAAGAAATTTCTTTGTTTACGTTATAACCCTGCTTATTACTTGCATCAATATGTATACACCATGTCACCACGACTGCTATAGGGGAAAGCGGGGCTATACCGTACACTTAAGCGAGAGTTGTCAGTGGTAAGCTAATATTAAGTATAGAAATATAAAAAACAAAGCAACTTATAATTTGGACCATTAACACCTAATTACACCGAAAGAAATTGGAACCGTTCCACTGTTTACAATAAAAAAAGTGTCTCTGTATAAAATAGCCCCGGGGGTCGGGCCTACACCGTACAGTAAAACAATCATCTGATTAGGGAAGTAATGCTACAAACTATTAAACAAAAAAGATTTTATTACTTATTGAGACATCAAGTAAGAAACACTATATGAAACTTTTGTTATTGATATTTAGTTTAACTTACAAAAGTATAAGAAATAAGAATAAGTTAACTTTCATGAAAAAAGTTATAAAGTTGATAGAATAAAGTATTTAAGGTTTATACAGAATATACATTTATATATTATACATTTATATATTATACATTTATACAGAATTCACAAATAAAGTTATCTGCGGACTCGGCTCCACTGCAAGCCGAATGGATCCACCCAGCGCATGAGCAGCACCTAAACCAGAGTTCTTTGTCCTTGCCAAAATCTCCACAAGAGAAGCACACATCCGTTGAGCCTGAGGCTGCTCTTGTTAATCCTTTTTGTAGAAATGAATTCTTTGGGTCAATATCGTCCAAGTAATCATCTTGGCGAATGTCTTTTATGTCAGTGGGGTCATCTTCTGATGATGAATCATCAAATCTAATGTTTTTTCGACTTTTTGACTTCCCAGATCATGCTGTGTTGAAATTGAGGCTTCTTGGCTTAGAGTTTCCTATAGTTTTACTTTTGGGTATCCTGTTGTCTTGTTTTGATATTTTCTTCTCTTTCTTTTCAACTTTTATCTTTTCTTGTAGTTGTTGAATCTTTTTCTTTAATGCTTTCACTGTAGCTAACTCTTCCAGTTGTGCTTTATTTGGGGACTTCGTAAAAATAATTGAATGTTGTTTTCTTGAAGTTATCTTCGCTATTTTAGACTGAGGCGTGGGGCAAAGAGATTTAAAAGATACTACTTTTGATTGAGGCTGAGCACCAGCATTCGATCAAGGCATGGTAGGTAAATTCTGCAGAGATCCAACATATATGTGATCTGGAGTTAGGTCTTCGTTCATATCCGTATCCATTCGGGCTGTAGTTGGGCTGTCCTCGACTCCCGAGATTGAAGTATCCCTCAAGGCTACACCAACAGCAACATATTTGTCTTATATAACAGGTAATCTCTGTTCAACCTCTAATCGCACTGCAAAATATTCTTCTGTGAATCTTTCCGGATCAAGAGGGAATATCCCAGCCGATGCGAAACCACTTAGACATACCTAGACACAAGCATAGACAAACCTCAACATAAGCATTGTTAAAAATAACAGCGATATCATTAGGTGTTATCTTCTCATGATAAAAAATTGTCACATTCCTTGATGAATGCTGCTTTCTGGCTGCTAAATAAAGTGATATCTAACAGCTGAAGGCGATGTGACGAGTGTGGCGGTAGTGTCACCACAATTATTCCATTCTCCCTGCAAACATTGTACGCTGTTATGGTAGTGTGGGTTTTGTGGTTGTCCATTACGAGAAGCACAGGCTGCTCTTTAGTTGGCTTAGCATGGAAAATGAAATGGTGTAACCAGGTGACAAATAACTCTTCAGTTATCCACCCGTTATGACTTCAATGGTAAATTGCATTTGGTGATCCACCTTTTGCCTTTGGCGAGGAAAGATAAACATTGGTAGAATATATTCACCGGCAGCACTCATTGCACAGCCCACACTGATATTTTTCCCCCGTTTCCAGCTTGCAGCAGCACCCACTTGCTTAATTCATTTCGGGCCTAAAATCTTTTCTAGTTTTTGGACCGTAGAGATCCCGTCTCATCAAGATTATATATCCTTGAGACCGTAAACCCGTGTTTGTCCATTTCACAGTTCAGGTTGGAGAAAAAAATATCCACTTCTTCTTTATTGAACGCAATTATTCGACTTATGCTTGTTGCTTCTGGTTTGCGAATGCTGATTCTTAGGTTCCGATTCAAAAATCCATTAAACCAATCTTGCCCTGCTAATTTAGCTGATTTGTCAAATTGGTGTGGAATGCCATTTTTCTCAGCATACTCAACCACTAAGCGGCGAAGCTTACCCGAAGAAATGCCGCAAAACACTTTATCTAGAAGTAAAACTTGTTCTGAAATTTCATTTTCTTGCTCTTGTGTGAATACAGGCTTATGCCCTAAAGCTAACTTTTTAGAGTCACGAGTCTTAAGTCTATCACTCAAGGTCATATAAAACTGTAATCTTCATGATATTTTTTTCATAAATTTCAATCTATTAATCTTGCCATATTGAACCATTTGGGGCTAAGTCGTACAGAAACGGGGCTATACCGTACACATCTGTACGGTTTAGCCCCATTCTGTACCTGATGGGAGTTTAATAACCTAACCACAAATTCCACCGTCAAACTAATCATCACTTATGATCAAAAGAGAGCTTAAGAAAAATAGTTTCTTATGATCTTATAGTTACTAGCTTATAAGTAAAGGTTCTCCACTCACCTGTTATTTGGCACTGCCCCAAAATTATAAGATAACATAAAAAAACAAGTTTTTTTACCGTCACACTGGTACTTTTACCCACACCGGAACGAACTCAATCCTCCAAAATTGCGCGTTCTGCCGCTAGGTTACGACACCGATCGGAATCGTCTATATTATAACTATCTAAAACTGTAATGACTCATCGATGTTCACGTGAACATCACTTAACTACCAGTAGTCGGCTGTTCATAGGCGGGGTATGAATGTTTAACATGGGTGAACTAGATTTGTCACATGCTTAATAAAGAGTGGTTTGAAACATATTGTAAGTAAAAAATTTGGGAATTACCTTTATTCATGGTCGCTTCCACTTACATCTGACAGTAATAAACTGTCGCTATCGCTTTCCTCGTTGAAATTGATTATAACTGGCTCTATGATGGTGTCGATGTGGTGGTCAAGCTGCCACATTTTTGTTTCTTCCTTCACAACATGACGAATAGCATTCTGCCAAGCTTCGGGCGTTACTAGCTGCATGGAAGTCTCAAGTAAAACCTTAACGTCTGGTAATTTGAAGGTTGTGTTATGGCGCGCAATATAACCCTTCACTTGAGCCCAGATGAGCTCTATTGGGTTCAGTTCACAGTAGGGCGGTAACCGCAGCACAGTGACACCACATTGACGGGCCATCTCATCAGTCACTTAACTAATGTTCGCAGGTTTGTGCTGTTTAATTTTTTCATACAATTCCGCTTTCACACATGAATCGTCAAACGGGATTCCTTTTTCGCACAACCATTGCTGCATGTCACTTTTTCGTGCTCCCATAGTCGGTACACGTTCGGCTCGACGACTATGGTAGGAAGCATTATCCATGACGATCACAGAGTTGGGCTCAACTCGCTGAAGCACCCCTTGAAACCAGCTCTCGAAGCAGCTGGCATTCATTTCGTCATGGTAATCACCTCCTTTCTTAGAGACGAAAATCAAGTCACACTCTTCTGAAAAGCCACTACCGCTACCAATATGAGTTACGATCAATCTTTGACCTTTCCCTGACGGTCCACGAAGACCTGTTGACAAACCTTCAATGCTTGCTTGTCGGTTACTCACTACGTTTTTGTCTATCCAGGTTTTTTTAACTGTGTGACCTGCGTTTACCCATGTCTCGTCCAAATAATAGATTTTTCTGCTTTGTCGCCTGTATTCAATCATTTCGCGTAGGTATTTTCGACGCCAGGCGACTATTTCAGGTCTCTCTATCAATACTGACTTCCGATTACGCGTTTCGTAACGAAAATTAATTTCGTGCAGGGATTTCCTCATTACCTCGACGCTCATTTGGGGTATAATTTCATTTTCCTTGATCACTGCATGTACAGCCTTCAGGGTTGGCATCTCATTCCTAAAGAAGAATGAATGTACGGTTCGCCTTAACGCCATTTTGCTATCGTCATCCAATTTAACGGCCTTTCGTCCCTTCAAATTAAACTTTAGATCAGTAGTAGCTCCAGTTTTCTTCTTTTCAAGCACCACCCTGCGAATGGTCCATTCTGGAACGCCTGTCATACTTTCACAACGCGCGAGTACATCTCCCTGCGACATAGTTCTGTTCAGATAATTGAACACGTTGAGCACGATTTCTTTCGCGTCCCTCTTCAGTGCTTTACGAAGCCGTCTACTTGTTCCCTGGCTTTCAGTACTTCCACTCGTGCCATTTGTACTCTCCATGGTTAAGTATAACCAAAACAGTAACCACAGAAACCACAACAATAACAATCACACAACAATTCTTATAAAAACACACAATATGCGATCGCTCAACGAAACACGTTCCAATGCGTTGTCGATGCCTATGAGTCTGCCGGTCGAGGCGCGTCTTTGATTTCATTGGTTCTACCGGCGGAGAACAATCAGCCATTATTTCCATCTCTGTCTGTGCTGTTGACCACCGCAAAGCCACAGAAACGACATATGTCGTACGCTATACGGCTGTACTGGAAGGTAGCCGGGATCGAGCTCTGATCACGTGTTGATCACGCGTATGAGTCATTACAGTTTTAAATAGTTGTAGTATAGCTAGATCTAGAGACGAAAAACGGGTGCACGGTTTAGCCTCGTTGTACGGTATAGCCCCGTTCTCCCCTAATACTCAAGAACTGTTGTCCCTATATGTACGTGCAAATTGTTTAAATGTACCTGCGCCTGGCCAGGCGTATGTTACAGATCTTCAGCACATTTGACGCATAGAACTCCGTGTTTTCTGGCCATTATAATTGAAACCAAATATGTGGAAATTACTCTTTACTGACGATTCGGCCACCCAGGTGGTCTTTTTCAAGGTACAGATCAAAAAGGCAATGAAAATCCTTACTAATTTTATAGATGAGAAAGTGTGGATGTTTGATAGTCAAGCACGCCAAAATTGATGATCGTATCTGGATGAAATTTGGTACAGATAATTACCATAGTCTGAAATAGCACATATGTTACTTTTTATACCGGGAAATAACTTTGAAATATCTATTTCACGAGCTTTCAAACGGCGTAATGGAATTTGAGGTGTCTGATAAGGAAACACTCAGTCACTAGTTCGACCGAACTAAGTAAGGGCATATAAATAGGGCATTTGCATCCTATATTCACTGCATTTCGACATTCATTTTCCTAGCGTGATCGTCTTGATTTAGATTTGCTGTTTTCTTTTACTTCAAGTATCATCTACAGAAACAATATTCTTTCTAATGATTTGTCTAGAATTTCTGAAGGCACGCGTAACAAGCTCGCAGGTCTAAGAAGTTTAGGCTCAGTAGGATTTGAGACACAGGTGTAACTAAAGCCAGCTTCCACTGCTCAGGAAGGTATACTTTTTCTGTACAAAAACTCAAAATATGTGAGTGATATGAAAGAAAGTTATAGGAAGACCTACTTTGATCATAGATCAATCGCTGATCCGACCGAAACAAGTGATTGTTATATGAATAGGACACTTGCATCATGCATTTACTGCATTTTGACATTCGTTTTCTTAGCTTGATCGCTTTGATATAGATTTGTTTGATGTTTTGTTTTACTTCAGGTATAATCTATATTATGTGTTTTTTTTTCTAGTCTTTTTGAAAGTACGGGTATTAAGCTTCTAGATCTAAGGTGTACAAGTTCAGTAGGATTTGAGATTTTAGGGATACGTATAATTAAGGCCAGATTTCACTATTTAGGGTGATGCCCTCTTTCTAAATGAAAATGTATTAACAATCCCCTATGCTTGTAGGGCCAATAAAATCACATATACTAACGGATCTTCTATACTGTAGTAAACGTTTCAATCACAAAGGTGATCTTCCTCAGTACAATGACATATATTTGTCTGAGTGGTCCGATCAGTAGGTCTGTCACGTCTGGTCTGGTTGCCCAGATACCAGACAAAGCAGGGGGAGGAAGAACGAAAGGAAGGAAGAGAAGATAAAAAAGAGGAAGTGCGTTGGTTGGAGGGGTGGTTTATTTTGATATAAAAAAATAGTTGTGTAAACATTTTTGTTGGACATAAAGTTGCTGGATTCTATTCACAGTTCGAGCCGCGGTCTTGTCTGCTTGCGACATAACATAGATTCACCGCTTGTAATAACAGCTTCTTGCTTTTAGGCCTATTGGAGAACAGAAGCATGACGGCCTGGAGGTTGTCATAGAAAAAATAGTCGTCAATGATTGGAATCGTAAGTACTGTAGCAATATTGTGTATGAAAATGTATGGGGTATATCCTTATGAAACGAGTTATCTTGGGACCAGTATTTATAAAAACATTTCATTTTTTCTACAACTATCTTGAAAAATCACCATTGTTAACCGCGATCCCCCAATGAGAAGTAGGTTTTCTTGCCCTAGGCAAGAAATGATAATAAAGAAACACCTAGGTGAATATTGAATAACACTTGAAATTGTATCCTGCTAATTTCAAAACGTCAAGTCAGTTTAATCACTGAACATTATACTTAGAAATATTTCAAAACGGTTGAGAAAAAAGTGAGGTTGGGGATAGACCATAGCATCGGTATATACACTATTGTGTCTACTGAGGTGATCAGGTGATCAGCAAGTGACATTTTTGTGTTAGACTACGACGTTGGCAATAATGAATCGGGTGTAAATCTAGTAAAACTTGTTTGTAGCGTTTTGTTTTTTGTATGCAAAATGAACTTTTCTACTTAAAAGAGCTATAAGCAAGTACAGAGTGAATCTGCATCCCATAAAAACCAAAACAAAATACGGCTCTGACTTCCTGACGTTGACGGATCCGTCAGAATTATGTGCCCTGTGCTGATATTGGGAATTTTGAAATATTACTAGATAATCAGCTGTCATTCTACCGTGATGGATACTCGTGAAATAGGGTATAGCTCCTCATGTAGCTGTCCTTCTTGATCAGGTACCCCAATAAGACGGCTTTCAATGTTAACGGAAGGATAACACAACCAACCAACATCTGCACGTTACTCCTTTTTAATATGGACCAGTCCAAGCCGATTGTATGTTACATTCATAAATTTCAGTCTTAGTCTAACTGCAGGTCTCTGGTACTCCAAAACGTTTGTGAAATAAGTTGCAAACTTCATGATTTGTGATGTAAAATCGAATATTTTGTGATATACACTGAAAACCAAATATCACTGACGTCGTAACGGGTACGAGAGAGAAATGCGAAAAGCGTGAGATATGTATGTTAGAAAGAGTACTCCCGTGACCTCGTACTCGGATTGCTAGGCAACGACGTGTTTCTATCGCTTTCTAACATACATATCCCATACTTATCGCGCTTCTCTCTCGTACTCATAACGACGTCAGCCAAATCTGAATCTCACCGTATAGTGTTACTAGTAGAGAAAATACTATACACATCATTAATGATCCCACACATCATATAGGTACATGCACGGATAAATATACTAAGTGACATATAAATCCGAACACCCAGTTTAAATGGTTTTATTTTAATAAAATTTTCTATAAGTACTTAATGAAGCATAATAAGTAAATGATAAAAAATTTCAAAATGATTGCACTGCTTTAAAGCCCTTTGACCTTTAATAATGTGTGGATGCACCCTGATGTACTACGCATTCTCCAACGCGCCTAGGCATGCTTCTGATCAGGTGGTCAATGTCCTCCTGTGGTATCTCATTCCAGGCAACCACCAACTCCTCTCGAAGTGCTTCTAGAGTCTGAGGAGGACGTTACAAATTGAGCAATCTCCTACCCATCATATCCTACACGTGCTCACTTGGGGATAAGTCGGGAGATCTTGGTGGCCATGGTAACAATGTGACATCATTATGTTGAAAGAAGTCTATTGTGACTCTTGGAACATGTGGTCGGGCATTATCTTGTTGGAAAGTTGGATCTGCCAGGGTGTCAAGATAGGGTAAAAGATGGGGTTCTAGAACTTCGTGGATATAACGCTGCGCGTTCATGTTACCTCTGATGAAGATTAAAGGTGTCCTGGAACCATAAGCTATAGCACCCCAAACCATAACTCCAACAGTGTGATGAACATGTCTTTCAACAAAAAACTGTGGATTCCTCCTTTCACCACGTCGCCTTCTAACCCTGGCACGACCATCGTGCATGCCTAAACAAAATCGAGACTCGTCTCTAAAGGCAATACTGTTCCATTCCTGATCCCAGAGTGACCGTTGTCTGCACCACTCAAGGCGATTACGTCGGTGTTCTCGAGTTAAAGGGAGGACCCAGTGTGGCCGGTATGAAAACAAGCCAAAACTTCTCATTCGTCGGTAAACACTTCGCATGCCAATAGGTCTTCCGTGTTCTGCAAACCATTCATTTGCAATGGACCTGGTAGTGGAGAAACGGTCCCTTAAGGACAATAATCTTAGGCGGCGCTCTTCACGGTCTTTTGTTCTACGGCGGCGTCCAGTGCCCCTTGCTCTTTGCGTACGGCCTTCTCGAAGCCATGCCTGACAACACCTAACCACAGTGTCTACACTTCTTTGCACTCTAACTGCAATTGCCCGAAAAGAAAGTCCAGCTTCCCGAAGTCCCACTATACGGCCCCTATCAAACTCACTAAGTTGACGAAATCGTACAGGTCTCCGTACTCTAGGCATCGTAACCGATCGTAAAGGATGTCAAGAACCAAAATCCACCAACGTTGATTCTTTACTGCGGCTGAAATATTCATTTTTAGAGCGTTAGTGAATTAAAAAAAAGCAGTATAAAAACCGGAATGTCCAACTGATAAGGCTGAAAATTTTTTCACTTGTTATTTACAGTAAGATAAATACATTCACCAACTTTTATTAAAATAAAACCATTTAAACTGGGTGTTCGGATTTATATGTCACTTAGTATAATTTTGATCTGTTCCCTGGTACCTGTTGCTACTATATTTACGGAATATTTTGTTAAATGGCAGGATAACTTCACACAAAAGTTGACGCCAGATTCCACAGAGAAAGGTTTTTTTTTCGTCTCATGTTAACACTATAGGCCATTCTATGAGTATTAGGGTTCTTGACAAAAGAGAACACCTTTCAAAACATCTATTTTTGTAAATGTCCCACATTTCCATGACACATCATTGTATGAATAAAAAGGCTGATGTTAAGCAACGTAGTATCATTCATTCTTACTTGTTGAACTGCGAAAAATTAGAACGACTACATATTCCAGTTAGTTCAGCATCTTCACAATAATATATTACAAATGTAATAATAATAATAATAATAATAATAATAATAATAAATGGCTTTATTCGAAGAGACAATGCATACAAAAATAGTGTTCAACAAAAAGGAATAATTGCTCTCGAATATCAAGGGGGAATCCATGACCTGCGTGCTCTTCCACTCATCCCTTGCTCTATTTTAAAATAGTGATATCAACTGTTACATGCCTACTACTAACTATATGAGAGCAGAAAAAAATGTCTAATACATTCCGTAAAATAAAGGAATTTTTCAACGTTCCGTAATACATTTTTTCACACAACCCATCTTTTTTGGTGTGTCATTACCATCATAATTTTCATATACATTTCCAAAATAAACGTATTTCAACATCTTGAGGAGTAGCTAATTTTCCGAACGCCCCTCTTATGTACAATACCTGAGAATTTTAAGATGGCAATAATTTTACACTTTCACATTATTTCATGATGTACATCTGTCATCTGTCTGCCACGTCATATTTCCAGGTCATTCACCTTCATTACGTGCAACAGGTATACGGTGATAAATGAAATTTATGTCCCTAAAATGTAGTTTTAGTTTTTAATAACTTGATTACTCTTTCCATTGTTTCGGGTTTAATGATAAATGTTTGTAACGCATTGCTATGTGTTCCGTTGTTAACAACAAACCCAATGCGTCCGGTCTTTTATTTTTATAATCGTAACACGTTTCCGTTCTAAAACACCATTTAGCAGCAACCTGATGGACGAGTAAGTAATTGGAAATTAAATTTTTCTAAATTGGTTGGTACTTTCATATTTGTGTTCTAGCTCCCGAAGATGTCAGTATAGTTTGTCGAAGGCTCTAGATTTTAGTCAAAAGAGTTCACTAGGCTTCAAGTTTTGCCAATTACCAATAAACAATTTAATTGTATTTTTTTGCCCAACTGGTCGTTGGCAATGGCAATGTCTACTGCTCGCGTTTGTATATATATATACAGGGTGTTCCATAATTATTGCGACAAAATGATAGGGGTTGTAGAGGGCATAAAAATATGCAATTTTGCCTTATAAACCCCTGTTCGTAAATATGCCGTTTGAGCACTACCGCTAATTTTACCTTAAGAGAAACAAAAAATTCAACAGCTGCAAAATGTTCGTCTAGCACATTTCATGGTCTCGCCGATTTGTAAAAAAAAGCCTGCTGTGCTTACATTTTTGTTATCGTAAATTCTCCACACCGATTCATTTAATTTATCTGAGTGGTGCGTCAAACTAGAGGCCAATCCGCGTACAAGCGTGCGTGCTATTGCACATGAAATGGGAGCGTCTCAAACTACTGCTTGGCGGGTTCTCCATGACCAGCAACTACACCCATACCACCTTTTAAAAGTCCAAGCCATGGGTCCAGAAAACTATCTGCCGCGTCGACGTTTTTGTCGTTGGTGGCTGCAGCAGGAGTTGAGGCAACCAAACTTTGGTCGCTACGTTTTGTACACTGACGAGTCCTGTTTCACAAAGGACGGTTATTTTAATAGCCGTAACAGTCACATTTGGGATGAAGAAAACCCTCATGCATAGCCATCCATAGAGACCAACATAGTTTTCAATTAACATCTGGTGCGGCATTGTGGACGAGCATATCATCGGGCAATATTTGCTTCCACCACGTTTGGATGGGCATGCTTATGGTCGATTCTTACAGCATGTGCTACCGGAACTATTAGAAAATGTGCCACTGAACATAAGAGCCAACACGTGGTTTCAAAACGATGGCGCTCCAGCCCACTTTTCTTTACAAGTGCGGCAGTATTTGGACGACAAATAGGTGGATAGGCCGAGGTGGCCCTGTGCCTTGGCCTGCGCGGTCACCCGACCTGACCCCACTGGATTATTTTCTCTGGGGCCATCTGAAAGCTTTAGTGTACGAAACTACTGTTCCCAACCAACAAGAGCTACTGGGAAGAGTGATGGCCGCGTCCGCACATGTTCAGGACATACCGGGGGTATGCCACAGAGTTCGCCGATCATTGAACAATCGTGCACAGCTGTGTATTGAGCAAGGTGGAGGACACTTTGAGCAATTACTGTAGGTAAGCTGTTTCAAGAAACTGATCTTTTTTTTTTGCTGCATCCCAAACGGCATATTTCCGAACAGGGGTTTATAAGGCAAAATTGTTCATTTTGATGCCCTCTACAACCCCTATCATTTTGTCGCAATAATTATGGAACACCCTGTATATTATATTATAAGTTGTGCTTTTCAAAAAGGTCCCCCCTAACTATTGGTGAATGGGTCAAGTTAACAAATTCGAGGTGATGAAATTGATGGTATAAATACTTTGTTTTAACGTAAATGAAATGAGGGGTCGTGTGATACCAAATTTGGAGACTGCTTATGAGTAGGCAAATTTAACTACCTATCTTTCAAAGTGGGAATGGACCTTTCTGAAATATATGTAAACATAAAGGATGATTTACAAAATATTGTCAGTATGACAGAAAGTACGCCCAAGAAATTACTAGAAAAATCCTAGAAACATGATTTTGAAAATGTCTCCCTATCGTTGAAGTTATGATTTGAAATCGCGAAAAAATATAAATCTGGAGTGTATAAATTAGTTCATTTTGTATATGGATATACGAAAATTTCCATGGATCAGTGGCACATAGCAACTGGGACATCTTGAGCCTTTTGGAGAAGAATCCAATTCCAGTTTGAAAATACGCTAAAATTAAGTTAGACTGAAAATGTTGTGTATGAATGTATGAAAGCAATGCCATTTTTGAAAAATATTCATTTTTTATCCTCAATTCGTGCCGATAGTGATGCAGGCAATTACGAGTACAATACCTTGTATTTTGGAACAGTTTTGAACCAAAGGTTAAAAAAGAATATCATGTTATTTCTGGATGTAACTTCTGCCGTCATTTTTATTTGAATTACTCTGTATTACTTTGTTTCACGTTTTTGCAGGTACGCATGTGTCGACCCATCATCAGGCTGATGTAGGCGGTAACTTCCTCAGCCATATCAATATTATCCATGCCTTAAGAAATAATGAAAACAAAATGATTTACAAGTTGAGACGTTAGATAGACATTAAACCTGTATTAAAGCTGGATTATGGTAATTTTATTTATACAAATCCCAAAATCTGTTTCCAATAAAACTTAAACATCGGTATATTACTTCCCACGCCACTGAGGAGGAAGTATTGCATTCGCAAAAAAAATGGAAATGAGATATTATATATACGTTTTATGAAATCTACATCTCGAAGAACCATGTCACTCATTTACATCGGTCTGTTTGTCTAACAAAAAGAAACAGGTCGGTTAAAAATCTAGATGTGAAATAAAATATGTTTGATCCAAAAACGCCAAAAGCAATTAAGTGAATATACATACATTGAGAACCAAATTTGTCTGACGGCTTGAGATCAATATATACGAGAGAGAAGTGTATATAGACACATATGTTAGAAAGAGATAGAAGCCGTCTAGATAGCGAACCTCATCACCACGTTGTCTAGCAACGCTGTCGCGGCAATCTGCCGCGATGTCAATATGTTGCAGCAACTCCTTGAATCAAGATGCATGTTGAAAATATGCGTTAGTTTATTCTCTACACCCAAATAATGGTTTTATTTTGAGCCTACACACTTTTGAATTGTGGATTGTGTCGAATATGTTTTGGATCGATTCCAGATTGTTCCTAACGGCGCTCCATTTTAGGTCGAAATGAAAGGTCAGGATCGCCACAAACATTGCATTATTGGTTCGCTTGGCAATAACGTATCTCGTACATTCCAAGGCAAGGTTTTCTCCTCTATGATCATAGATTAGCGATTTTGGTCAGTCACCATCTAGCGTTCATTTGCGGAGTCTCGTCCTGCTGCGAAATGGTTTTCACCTGCGTACACGCAGGCGGTGATAATTTGTATTGTGTAATGGTATTTGTTACATTTTTAGACCTCTCTCTGTCGAAAAATGGTACAATAACTAAGGATGTGGCGATTTCATCTCCATCAAAATAAAACCAAAATATTAAATTAAATGTTCGAACAGACCTCCTTCTGGGCTTTGACAGTACTCCAACCTATTGTAGAAGCCTGTGCAAACATTTTCTGGTGTAACACGTTGGCACGACCTTCTGCGTCACTGTCTCTAGGCAATGTGGTGATAACGACCTTCACTCTTCGGCCGGCTTCTATCTTCTTATAACATGGGTTGCTACACACTTCTCGCGGTTCTCTCTCGTATATATTGAACTCAAGCCTCAGAGAAATTTGGTTTTACCTGTATGTGGAAGAAAGCACTAAAACACCAGGACTAGACAGTAGCAGGGCAAAGAGTAAAAAATATAATACGCTCTCTAGAAGAACACGTAGAACAAACTTGTAAGTCAGTATATGTAGAAGAGCTGCTACAATAGGTAGAGGTGCAAGTAAGAGAAGTTATTGACGCAAGAGTAAGAAATCTTAGAGAGGGTGAACATGATGTGACATCCTTAGTACCTACTCCAGTTTACAGAAACAGAGGCGTAGTAGCAAAACCGTATCAATACAATAACCATGATCAATGGTTATTGGATGGAAAAGCTTCGTCAACCGATCGTTCTTTTATCTTATTTCCACGCTTATATTCTGTTAATATTATAAGAGCTGTTTATACTTTTGAGATTAATGTAGTTTGGATTATGTTCATTCATATTTTAATTTTATATCGGTACGAAGTATCTGATGATTTCTCAAGGTCTGACAATTATTAGATAATACAAAATAAGTTCAATTTACTTCATCTGGCTACCGCGAATCTCAAGTATGCGAACAAATAAATTGTTTTGATTCACTTATCTTGGTCCTTAAATAAGAATAAAAGATAAAGTATTTTCTAACCGTGCGGTATGTTTTTAGAACATATGAAATGATGATTCTTTGAAATCGAAAATATTGTATTATTACGTACTCTTGAATATGGTATGTTAAGACTTACGAAACATGTACTGGATAATTTACTTCCCACGCTGCTGGCGAGGAAGTATTGCAATCTCGAAATATTTCAAATATGAGGTGTTATATTTTTGGATGTTATATGCACAGGGTGGTCAACTAATATGCGAGGTACTGTATCTGGGAAGGTATCCATCGTAGAGGCAAGAAAGATTTTACTAAAATGGCCAAGAGAAACACAGAAAATACTTTCAAGTTTCTGAAATGGCCGCTGGGGGCGCAACTGCAATCTTGAATCTAAAAAAGTGCTGCATCTCTAAAAATAAAGTGGTGGGAAGTATTGAAAGGTCTCCGTAAAAAACACCCTTTATCTTCGAAACGTTTGAGCTGATTTTAAGAAACTTGAACTAGTTGAAAAGAGAAATTCCTGGGCTACAAATGTTATTTGCTATTATTATTATTATTATATATATATATAATATATTATATATATTATATACATATTATTGCTATTTGAAATTTTGTTAGTTTCACATGTGGCCGCTATAGCGGAATTAACAGAAACATCACTTTTTTAGATTCAAGATTACAGTTATGCCCCGTAGCGGCCATTTTAGAAACTTGAAAATATTTTCCAGGTTTTTCTCTTGGCCGTTTTAGTAATACATGTTTTTGCCGCAAGCCTCTACGATTGATAAGTTCTCAAATACAGCACCCTGTACATCACAAAAACCATTTACGGCGGTCTGTAGGCCTGTCCGATAATCCTTGGCCCGTCTATAATTCAGAAAGTACCGATCGAACTGTGATGAAATTTTCACACATGGTTGCTTCTATGCCAAGTTTGGAAAATTTTTAGTTTTTGAAAATCGGCTCAGTGGCGGCGGGGCAAGGCGCAAGAAAAAAAATGGAAATCGCGCAAACTTGATGTGTTTCAGAGACTCTTGGTCATTCTTGGAATTTTTCACGGAGGGAGTGAAAATTTGAGGTAGGGGTAAGAACATAAAATCTCTTTCAAAATGGTGGAATGGCAGGCTGTCAAATTAGAGTGTTTTGTGCCTTGAATCGCTTATAACTCAGCAACCAATCATCTAAGAGGCTCTTTCTGGCCCATGTGGAAGATTGATGTTTACTTGTTGAGTTTCCGACATCTTCATGTTTTCAACTGTCACTTTTACTGTAAAAGGGGGGGGATTTTTGAAGAGCACTGTTCACTTCCTCCTAGTGTGGACTATCAAACAGTTTCAATTAGTATTTAATAATCACCGCTGTCCAAATCGTGGAAAATAACCTGGAAAATTTTCGATTTTAAACGTTATCATATCTTAATATGGATACAGATATGAAATTGGTAGACTATTTAAGCTATCTCTTGAGAGTATTTTATATTTGTTAAAAATGTTGCTCAGGTGAGTCAGTTTTCGCAGCTCAGTTTATGTAATGTGTGCAATTTTTGTACTTATGTAGATAAACTATATTGAAAAAGTACACTAGTTTGTCATCGATGAAACGAACCGGTTTTGAGAAAAGCAGTCTTATTAGTTATATTTAAAATAAGCGCTTTGATAGCAATATAATCGCCATATTTGTCACTTGTGTGCTAACTAGTTGCTAGCCAACTCGCTGTGAACGTCACCTATGGAGGCTGGGCACAACGAGTTATAGTGTCGAACTTACAGCTTAGGTCATAGAAGATATAGTGCCATCTCTGAAGCAGACATTACATCACCTCAGAGCCACGGCACAGCTAGTACAAGTGAACATGGGTGAATGATAGCTAGTTCCAAAGTGACAACTCTGGCGATCAGAGAGCTCAGATCAGTTACTTAATAAGCTTTTTAGGGTCCAGATCCAATACATCAGATACAGATAATCGAAAAAAGATATTTCTCAGATTGCTAATCGAAATTCTAGACTTTAGTACTTATACACAAAATTGAAAAAGTTTGCCTACATGCGGCTTATTTTGCCGAGGTGAAACACAATTACATTGTTGTTAGCTAATGGACTAGGCTTTTGAAACTATATTTTTGAACAACTTTTATCAAGGGTGAAAAATATTAGCAATACTGCCTGACGAAGTAGCCTTATCAGATCTAGTGATCTATGTCTTAGAAATACTACAGCACAGTGTCATACAATTTCTGCATTGTCGTATTTCGATAGACTTTATAACTTCTGTAGAGGATACTTATCTCATTTCTTTCGTTGCCATTCCTGGATAAGTCAGTTCGTGCCTTCAGAGTTATTGAAAAATAATATTAGACTTATCTCATTTTAATACGAAATCAAATTTCACGAGAGAGCTTAACTCAAGTTAGTCCAATTTGTGAAATTATAAAATATAGATATCATTTTACAGCGTATGGCTTATCTATGTTACGCCGGTTCGTCAAATTGTAGTTTTAATTTTGGGATTCTCCCCACAGTGCCGTTTCTACAGCTTTGTCCAAAGTAGGTGAAATGTTTATACCTACCCAACTGCCTCCAGTTATTCAAGATTTAAAAAAAGGGGGCAACAGGGCAACCTATAAAATGGCCCGATTTTATGGAATAGGTTAAAAAGAACGAGTCGCTAACAATATTTCACAAAACTAGTCGCTTGCAACAATATATGGAAGTGTCTGTGTGAAGGAGAAATATACCGGTAGTTCGTTTACCAAAATACCAAAGATTATTTTGTTCATCTTCAACAGATATTATTATATCATCATTATTTGAGTGAATCTTGTGTTGTGCTGCCATATTTACTTTGATAGTTTTAGATACTGCGGATACTTGTTTCGCCATAATATTTACTGTTCCCTTTTTGTAACCATTTTGTCTTGCAATGAAACTTTTTTTTAAATTTTATGTGTTATATGTTTTTTGTCACTTTAATATAACACGAACGTAACTAAGTCTTTATTTTATGAATTACGTTCCTTCCATTTTACAAATTGACGTATTTGCGTTTGGAAGTTTTTAGTAATAATACCTTTTTGTCAGCAACAACTCAAATCTCATGAAAATATTTAAAACGCTCTCCTGTAAAATTGGAATAAATAAGATACGCAAAGTGGCGTTATGGACGACGATATATATATATATATATATATAAAGAGAGAAAATTTTCATATTTTTGTTATATATATATATAGAGAAAATTATCATGCGGAGAAAGGTATATAA